TTATATTATGATTATTATTGATTTTTTTCCCATTTTAACTATATAAACTATTCTAAATTAAAAAATAAAATAAAAAAATATAACAAAAAATTAAAATTTTAGACCGAAACAAAAAGGTACACGGCCGTGTAGAATTATACATGGCCGTGTAACAGCATGGTCATGTATAATTATACACTGAAATATACAGTGTCATGTAACAACATGGCCGTGTATAATTGTACATAGCCGTATAACAACATGATTATGTATAATTATACACTGAAATATACATGGTCCTGTAACAACATGGCCGTGTAGAATTATACATGGTTGTATAACAACATGGCCATGTATAATTATACACTGAAATATAATGACCATGTAACAACATGGTCGTGTATAATTGTACATGGTCGTGTACTTTCCAGGTCAACTGTCACTTCACCTCCGTCATGCCCACGTCAGCAATTTCCGTTAATTTTTTAACAGTGGGACCAAAATTGATTAAAATTGTTTATAATTTGACCATAATTGATTGAGATTGTTTGTATTGAGACTAAAATTGATAAATTTTTTATATTGGGACCAAAATTGATGAGTTTTTTATATTGTGACCAAAATTGATAAATTTTTATTATATTAGGACCAAAATTGATTTTTTTCCTTTTATTGACCGATTACATTAACTATGATTATATTATGAAATATTGATGAAAATTACTTAAATAATTGTAACAAAAGACTTATTGCAAAACATTAAATTAGATAAATATTATGAGATATTATTCAAAATTAATTAAAAAATATTGTACAAAATATTGGTTAAACTATTATTATAATTATATATATTATTATATATATATTATAATATATATAATTATAATAATATTGCACTGGTAAGTAGGAGTGAAAATAGGCCAACCGTCTTGTCAAGAACTTACAACCTGACCTGTATAAGACCTGATTTCGCATGACCGGTTTACTAAAACCGATATTATTTTTTTAATTGTTTAAAATTCTTAAAATATTATATTAGGTGACAATAAAAAATATAAAAATTAATTATTTTTAATGGACTTATTAATAAATAATTGTATTTATTTATTACAAATATTAAGTTTAAAAATATATGTATAATATTATACAAATTTTTAAATAGACTCGTAGACCATGTCAAAATTTAAAGTAGATCAAGTCTAAACTTTAGAGATATAACTTTTAACAACTCCCTGTACTTTAATTTTATAAAACAGATCTAGTCTATTTAGCCCAAAGGCCTGGTGGGCCTATTTCTAACCCTAGTAAATCAATAAGGGAATGTCAAATGCTTGTGGATGAAATTAACATAATAGTAGATATTTTACCAATATTTCAAAATAATTAAATATATTTAACATTATAGATCTATTTACTTTGTATTTTTAGTTGATGTATTTTTTACCTCAGATATGATGAATTATATTAGTAATATAAAAAAATAATATTTGATATTATACGTTGAATGTAAATAATATTTTGTATTGAATTATAGCATATAAATATGTTTAATAGATATATTTTTAATAATATCGAAAATTATGCCAAAAAAATATATATATATTAGGTGAACAAACCCATTCAATTTCACATTTATAAAATGAATTCTTATATATTTATATTTTGTAAGAAGCAATATGATAATAATTTCACTTGAATTATTACATTAAATAATCCAATCAAAATATTTTGTAAGAAGCAATATCATAATAATTTCACTTGAATTATTACATTAAATAATCCAATCAAAATGTAAGTGGAAAAATAAAATTATTAAAATGTCTAGTGAGTATTCTTTCAGTAGATGTCATACAAATTATAAACTCATATTTATTCATGAAGTATATCCTACTAACATAATGTATATATATATATATATTTCAAATTATTATTTTTTTTATAACTTTTAATATTCAAATTAATTATTCATATGCGCCAAAAGTGGTGGACGTTCCGGAGGCTCTTCGGGATTCGGCTCTGAATGAACTAATATTTTGTACCTACCTATCAACGAACTCATTTCTTGATGCGGAGGTTCTTGATGATTAGGGCCCATTGGAACTGACCTCTTTATTTCATTAAATAAATTTTGCGTATATTTTAAAGATGAAGGCAAAGTAGGAGGTTCTACGGGGTTTGGTCCTTCTGGAACTGATATTTTTGTTCCTATGAGTGAACTCATGTCATGATGTGGAGGCTCGTGATTAGGGCCCATCGGGACCGACCTTTTTATCCCAACGAACAAATTTTGCGCATATTTTAAAGATGACGGCAACTCGGGAGGTTCTACGGGGTTTGGTCCTTCTGGAACTGACTTTTTTGTCCCTATAAGCGAACTCATTTCGAAATGTGGAGGCTCGTGATTAGGGCCCATCGGGACCGACCTCTTGATGCTTGTGAATGAACTTTTTAAGTATCTTACGTTGCTGAATTTTGAATCGAAGGCTCTGGAAAAAACATTTGCGGCAGCGAAAACGAGGCAAAGAAAGACAAAGTTGAATCCATGGGAAACGCTCCGAGACAACATTATGTAACAAATAAAAACCTATGTTTGAATAGATGAAAGATTATGTGTTGCTTATATAGAATTTTGGTCATAAATTGATATGGAAATTTTAATTTATATTGTATTTATGGTCATGTGATTTTGATTCCTATATTGAATATTAGGATGTTAATTAAGTTTTCCTGTATTGAATATTGATCCTTTATTTTATGCATGAAATGAGGATATCGGATTTTTAGTATATATGTTGAATATGGTATGTCATAGTTTTATATGGATCACTATTTAGTATATATAGATATAGATATAGATATATAAGAAATGTCTATTTATTTAGGGTTTGTTTATTTTATGTTTTTGGATAAATATATTTTTTTATATTTGGTGTGAGAAATTATATAGTAATATGTAAAAAAAAACTCTCCCATCCCAAATAAAAGAGGATTTTAGAATTCTATAATAAATTAAAAAATAATACTCCCTTCGTCCCAGATACCGTGTCTGCTACATTATAGACACGGTATTTTAGGAGGGGTGTAATTAGTAGATAATTAATATTGTATTAGTGAAAATAATTATTTTATAATATAAATAATTATAAATTAAGATTAAGATAACTAATTAGTTTAACTAAAATTTAAAAAAAATAAAATTTAAAATGAGATTAAACTGTGTAATCATTTTCTAAAAAAGAAAAGTGACATGGTATGTGGAACGGACAGAAACGGCAATCTGGACATGGTATCTGGGATGGAGGGAGTAGTTTTTAGTTAAAAATATTTTAATCTTACTGTATGATTAATTTTTATAAAATAAAAATAGATATTCTGAAGTGAGAGAGACGAAAATGACAAAAATACTATTTTGAATTGAGATGGATGAAGTAATATATATTGCTGACTTTTGTGAGAGAGATTATTAATATGTGTATATTGTATTTTTTTAGTAATATTTATATGAATTGTTCCCTTAAAAAACGTAGGATTTGTTTCTTTTGTCACAAAATTCCAAATTTTTATTGGGTTTCAAAAAAAAAAAAAAATAATACACTTTTTATTCTCATAAAATATTTCATAAAATATTATTTTAATATCAAATTCAAATCAAAATTTTTCCAAACTCATTCAAAGAAACAACAAACCCTTAGTTTTTTTTTATATGTTCGGTTGGTAATATTTTTATTGCTTAATTTTACAATTTCTTTGTAAAAACATATTATTATCTCATATAAATTATTTCATCTAAACTAAAATATTCAAACCAAAAATTAAAATTAATATATTTAAAAAATAAACATACTCTTTTATGTGTTTTTTGGAATTTGATTATCAATTTTTGTTCAAATAATATTCTAAATATAATACTTTGTAAAAAAATAAATAAATTTTAAGTTGAATAACAAAAAGAAAAAAGAAAAAAAAAAAGAACTTAAAAACAAAGATGATAATTTCATGCCGACTCGATTTTTTTGTATCAGGCTGGTCCGTCACATTTTCATTCCGTAACCGAGCATGTAAGTTCCAATTTTAAATCGAGCCTTAAAGTCTACAAGTATGTTTGACAATTAGCTGATAGGTTTTAGCGGTTCGTTGATCCAATTAACTGTTAAATAATTCAATTAGCTGGTTTGATTAACAGATTTAATTAGCTATTTCTATTAAAGTATTTGGTAAAACAATCGTTTGTCATTAACTATTTATACGTAAAATGACAATTAAAGACATTTATTTTTTTGAAAAATATTTAATTTTGTTCATTTTGGTTTAAAATTTTTGAAAACTTTAGATTCACTTTTTAAAAATTAATTAATTTTTTTTTGTCCAAAAAACTGTTTAAAAAATTAATTTACCAAACATATAAATTAACGCTGATTAATAAGCCAAAAAAACTATTTCCCAAACAACTTCGTAGGCCGGCACGGTCCAATTCAAATTGTGTTGGACTTGGTTACTCAGATTTTTTTTAAAAATTATTTTAAAATTTATTTTACATAATTGTTTATTAAATTATATAAACGTAATTATAATAAAAATAATCTTTTAATTGATAATTAAGTATTTTAATATTAAATATATAATAAATTCTTAATTTTATAGTAATATCTTTTAAAATTACTTAAATTAAGATTTTATTCAACAAATCATATTGGGCCAAACACGACTGATCCGCACCAGCCCAACATGAAATTTGTTTATTATTCAACTATTTTTTTAAAAATATTAATTAAATATTTATTTTTATTTTTTATTTTAATATTAAAAAATAATTTTACGATATTATATTAATATTTATTTATATTAGGTTAAATAACTTTTATAATTTAAATCCAAAATTCACACTCAGTGACTCAGAGAAACGAACCCTATAATTAAAAAAAAAAAAAAACTCGTTCACGTATCCTTACTACGGAATTCATTATTATATACTATTTTAAAGAATAGTTATCAAAATCTCAATTAGAAAAATCACCAAAATCTTCTGGAAACACAAATAAAAACACCCCCAAATACATTTTACAAACAAACATATTGCACTCTTTTACAGTGGCGAATTGACGACGATCTTTAAGCTCATCGACCACCTCAAGGCGGCGGCGCACTAACTCGCACGGGACGCCGATTTTTCCAGGCGTTTCTAACCTTATTCTCCTCCGGATTAAGATTCTGCGGACGTGAATCAATTATTGCCTCGGTTTCGATTGGGATTCAGATTGTTGTGTGAGCATTGTCGCAGGTGAATACTCGCCCGGACCCCTTGTTATTTATATCATAAAATACGGTGTTGCTTTTGATTGTGTGTGCAGTTTTTTGTTGTTTGTTATTTTACATTTTTTGTGTCGATTGTTTTTTTTTTTTTTTTTGAAGAATTGGTTATTTTTATTTTTGTTTTTATTTGTTCGTGTTTGGATGGGGAGTGCTTGTTTTGTTTGTTTTGTGATTGTTAGTTGGGGGACTGATTTTGGATTTGGGATTATTGTGTGTTTTCAGGAGTTGTTGAACTGGAGTAGGTTTATTTGTCGAAATCTGAGTAATGGGGAGAAAGAAGCCGACGGTTCGCGACGAGGAGGGCGGCCCTGCGGCCGGAGGTGTTGGTGGGAAATCAAAGAAGAAGGCGTTTGTGATTGCCGACGATGAGTACTCTGTTGGAACTGAGTTATCAGAGGAAGCTGCTGTTCCCGAAGAGAAGGCTGTTGTCGGGGGTAACAACAAAAAGAAGGGTAAGAAAGGGGCTTCAAAGAAAACACAGTTGAAGGATGATGACAGTGAAATTGGGGATAATGAATTTTTGAGGGAAGAGGAAGAGCAGGAGGACGTACCAGTGGTGTTTGCAGGTAAAAAGAAGGGAAAGGGTAAAAAGAGCAGCAGTAGTGCACTTACTGGTTCTAATTTTGGGTTATTGGGAGAAGATGAAGAAGAAGAAGATGATGATGGAAGTAAAGATGATGATGACTGGGAAGATGAAGGAATAAGTGAGCCCGGGGTTATGTTTTCTGGGAAAAAGAAGCCTGGAAAGAATAAGAAGAGTGGTGGCAATTTCGCTTCTGCATTTGATTTGCTTGACGAAGTGGAAGAGAAGGAAGACAACGACGAGAGTGCCGAAGAGGAGGATGAAGTTGCATTTTCTGGGAAAAAGAAATCTTCGAAGAATAAGAAGGGTGGTGTGAACTTTTCTTCTGCATTTGACGTACTTGATGGAGAGGAAGAGAATAAGGATGGGAGTTCCAAGGAGAGCGATGAAATTGCATTTTCTGGGAAAAAGAAGCCTTCAAAGAAAAAGAAGACTGGTGGCAACTTTTCTTCTGCATTTGATGCCCTGGATGGGGAAGAAGAGAGCAGTGAAAGGAATGAGAATTCCAAGGAGGAAGATGAAGTTGTGTTTTCTGGGAAAAAGAAGCCTTCAAAAAATAAGAAGAGTGGTGCCAAAATTTCTTCTGCATTTGACTTACTTGATGGAGAAGAAGAGAATGAGGATGAGAGTGCCAAAGAAGAAGACGAGGCTGAAATATCTTTTACTGGAAAGAAGAAGAAGAAGTTATCATCAAAGGGATTGAAGAAGAGTTCTGAATATTCGGTGCTTGATGAAGAAAATGATGAGGATGCACCTGGTGATGATAAAGAGGAAGATTTGTCCGCCATTAAATTTTCAGGCAAAAAGAAGCCATCTAAAAAGAAAGTTACAAGTGTTGATACTGCAGTGGAGGATATTGAGGATGATTTTACATCCTCTGATGTTGCCAAGCCTGATCAACATCATGATGAATCTAACACTACTAAACAGATTACTCAAGATGTGCCCGGGAATTCAAAGAACAAAAAGAAGAAAAAGAAGGCTGGTAAAACTGGTCAAGGGGATGATGACATTGATCAAATTTTAGCTGAACTTGGTACTACTACACCAGCTGCTTCAAAACAAGGTCCTGCTCCAGTTGCCACTCCAGCTGTACCTCCTCAGGAAAAGCCACAGAATCAGTCTGAGCTAGAAGAGGCTGCTGGTGATAAGGAAGCTGAAGGAGGACCAGCTGAACCTGCAGCATCCAAGAAGAAGAAAAAGAAGAAGGAGAAAGAGAAAGAGAAAAAAGGAGCTGTATCAGAAGAAAAGACGGAAGAATTAAACAATGAGGCAAATGCTAAAGTAGCAGCAGGTAAAAAGGTTCCAAAGCATGTTAGGGAGATGCAAGAGAGACTTGCCAGACTTAAGGAAGCTGAAGAGAAGAAAAAGCAAGAAGAAGAGGAGAGGTTGAGAAAAGAAGAGGAGGAAAGGCATCGGCAGGAAGAATTGGAAAGGTTAGCAGAAGAGAGAAAACGGCTAAAGAAAGAAAGAGAGAAGGAAAAGCTGCAGAAGAAAAAGCAGGAGGGGAAACTTCTGACTGGGAGGCAGAAGGAAGAAGCTCGTAGGTTGGAGGCCATGAGGAAGCAAATCTTAGCTAACGCTGGGGGATTGCAGTTGCCTGCTGGAGAAGCTGCTCATGCACCTGCTAAAAAACCTATATATCAGAAGAAGAAGTCCAAACCGCAACCTCAAACTAATGGAGCAGCAACTTTAGAATCTGTTGAAAGCACAGTTTCGAATGAAAGTTGGCCAGACACTACATCAGAGTTGGATGCTCTAGAAACCGAGGAACCTGAGAAAGCTGAGAGTGTTGATGAAGTGGAGTCATTGAGTGTGAAGGAAAAAAGTGAGGTTACTGAAGAGAATGCTATTGACGATGAGGAAGATGATGAAGACTGGGATGCAAAAAGTTGGGATGATGCTGACCTGAAATTGCCTGGGAAAAGTGGTTTTGATGATGAAGAAGCTGATTCAGGGCCTGAAACTTTGCGTAACAAGGACATTAAAAACTCAAAGACTTCAACTAAAAATGGTGATGCATCTTCTGTTTCTGCCAAGCCCAGCAGTTTGATTGAAAAAGCTGAATCGCGAATTCCGCAGAAATCTGAGAATGTCAAAAAGAGAACCCCTGAGGCTGAAGTCTCTGACAAGGCGAATAAAAAAGATATTCAAGTTAAAGAGGAAACAAGAAAACCAGATGATTCTTCCAACAAGGGTGACCAGAATCTCCGTTCCCCAATATGTTGTATTATGGGCCATGTTGATGCCGGTAAAACAAAGTTACTGGACTGTATAAGACGAACCAATGTCCAAGAAGGTGAGGCTGGTGGAATTACACAACAAATTGGAGCAACCTATTTCCCCGCGGAGAACATACGTGAGAGAACAAAAGAACTAAAAGCAGATGCTAAGCTGAATGTCCCTGGTCTGTTGGTCATTGATACCCCTGGACACGAATCTTTCACGAATTTGCGCTCTCGAGGATCAGGACTGTGTGACATTGCAATTTTAGTTGTTGATATTATGCATGGGTTGGAACCACAGACAATTGAATCGTTGAATCTGTTGAAGATGAGAAATACCGAATTTATTGTTGCCATGAACAAAGTAAGTTTCCTTGTCATATGTCTTTATTAGTTACTTGATTCTCTCTTTCATTACTCATTTTGACTTTGCAGGTGGATAGACTCTATGGCTGGAAAACATGCCGCAATGCACCCATAGTGAAAGCAATGAAGCAACAAACAAAAGATGTCCAGCTAGAATTTAATACGAGGCTCACTCAGGTCATACTGATCTTTTTTGTCAACATTAATTTCTGCATTTCTGATTGGACTTAGTTTAATGCAAGTGTTTTCTGGTTATAGATTATCACACAATTCAAGGAGCAAGGGCTTAATACAGAGTTGTATTACAAGAACAAAGAAATGGGGGAGACTTTCAGCATAGTTCCCACCAGTGCTATTAGGTGACTTTATGGCTCGTTTGTTATTTCCATTTTTTTTTTACTTTTTTAATCTCTAAATAGCTATAACTTACCATAATGATGATTCTGGTGGATAGTGGTGAAGGAATCCCTGATCTGCTGCTACTGCTGGTTCAATGGGCTCAGAAGACAATGATTGAAAGGCTTACGTTTAGCGAAAAAGTGCAGGTTAGCTTTTGTTTCATCACTTTGTTAGTGATAAAGCTAATTTAATGAAGATTACCTGCTTACTCTCAGTTTCTTCTTCTAGTGTACTGTTTTGGAGGTTAAAGTCATTGAAGGACATGGGACAACAATTGATGTGGTTTTAGTAAATGGTGTGCTTCACGAAGGAGATCAAATTGTTGTGTGTGGCTTGCAGGTAAGTGTCGGCTACTGTATATTTGTTTAGATTTCTTACTAAAATACATTTTCAGACTATTTCTACTGTGTATACTTCTTCTAGGGGCCAATTGTTACCTCAATCAGAGCACTACTGACACCTCATCCAATGAAGGAGCTTCGAGTCAAGGTAAATGTTAGATCATATTAGTAGTTTATAGGCTTACATGAGAGGGTATCTGAGATTAAAGGTGAACAGTGACAGAAAACAACTCATTCAGATGATGGAGATCTGAATTCTGAAATAAAAACTGATCTTTTTCCCAGCCAAATTTCGTGCCATTGATCATGTAAATATACTTTGCCTTGGCTACATTAGTGTATGAAAATTTTATGACTTGGTGGTGAGTATAATGCTGACAAGCTTTCTTCGATCAAATCTGACAAACCCCACTAATACCTTTGGAAGCTTTGAAACTTTGTATGGATATTATTACTTAAAATCTGTTTTCTCTTCAATTTTTCTTCCGTATTGCATTAAATGAAGCATCACTGGGGAAGTGATTTCTTGAGTTATTTCTACAAAAAAATTATATTTATTATTTTCCCAGTCTTATTTATTTACTTAATTATATATATTTTAAAAAAATTTCAGGGTGCTTATATGCATCACAAGGAAATCAAAGCTGCTCAGGGTATAAAGATCACTGCGCAGGTAATCATTTTTGACATGTCCTTTTGCCTCGAAATTGAAGGCTCATTGGTCACTAGTTCCTCTCTAGACTGAATCAAGACCGCTGCATCCTAGATTGCCCTTGTGTAGCTAAATCTGTGCATCACTGATGGAGGCATGAACATAGTAGAAGCAATTATCTTGGTCTAGAAAGTCTTATTATGGAATATTTTAGACTTTGTGTAGATTTCCAATCGATTGATCATTAGATATAACCTGGAGACTAGATCTGGCAATGTCCTTGCAAGATGTTTTCTTTACAATTTCATCATCCAATTATCATACATTTTTCTGAGAGAATCACATGCATTTTTATATTGCTTCAAACACCTAGCTCTGTGATTAATATATTAGGATTAGTATTATCAAATATGTTAAAAGATGTACCAAATCCATGTACTATGTATTCTTACGGCTTACCAGAACATTGAACACTATCAAAAAGGAACTATATTTTAAAAAGTCTTGTATAATTAACTTTACATAGAATCTTAGCAATTCCATAATTGTAGAATTTAACCATATCAATGATCTTTCTCAAAATGATGTTTAACTTCTAACATATTCAATTGTGTAAAACTGCTCATTATTCGTGTATTTAAGATGGATTTGTCCTTGATAAATGTGGTACTATTGCTTATTTTGATGCAGCCATTATAACCCTCACAGTTAATTAGCTTGTGACTTATCGCCTGCTTGCCTTGCTTGGTAACTCTTTTATCCTTTTTTTAATTTTTGCAGGGCCTTGAGCATGCAATTGCAGGCACTAGTCTGCACGTTGTGAGGCCTAACGATGATTTAGAAGAAATTAAAGAGACAGCTATGGAGGACATGAATTCCGTCATGAGTAGGATTGACAAAAGTGGGGAGGGAGTTTATGTTCAAGCATCCACCCTTGGGTCATTGGAAGCTTTGCTGGAGTTCTTAAAGACTCCTGAAGTTAACATACCCGTTAGTGGTATAAGCATAGGCCCCGTACACAAAAAAGATGTGATGAAGGCTAGTGTCATGCTTGAGAAGAGAAAGGAGTACGCTACAATCTTGGCTTTTGATGTCAAAGTAACCCAAGAGTCTAGGGAACTTGCCGAGGAACTTGGCGTCAAAATTTTTATTGCCGACATCATTTATCATCTGTTTGATCAATTTAAGGCCTACATAAAAAATCTGAAGGATGAAAAGAAGAAAGAAGCTTCTGATGAAGCTGTATTTCCTTGCGTCCTCAAGATCATGCCTAACTGCGTGTTCAATAAGAAGGATCCCATTGTTTTGGGGGTGGATGTTCTTGAAGGCGTTGCAAAGGTAATTGATTTATTATCTGCACTTCAATAAGTTTCTGTTAGTAGCATTTAAGATATTGACTTGAATGTGAATGCTTTTTATGTGCCATGTACATATTTTTATGCTATATATAAAGTTTATACTTTAGAGAATTACATTCACTTAGTCAACGCCGACTGTCATTTAGTTATTCCTCTGAGGTGAAATTATGGAAGCAAGCCTAACTTTTGTATACCATAAATTATTTACTGTGATATTTTGATGTTTTTATTATGGCTGTGTGATTTTGTAGCTAAATTGATTTGATTCGCAAAGTGGAAGTATGATCTGAGGATTTACAACTCATAATGGAAATATTAGTCAGACCATTTTTGCATTTTTTAGTACATGTCTCTTGTGCAGGTTTATTGTATTCTCGACAAATGTTTCTTTCATTTGATTTACTTGTTGCTTCCGAATACATACTTGGACACTGATTTCTTTTTCCTTTTGTTAAAATCTCTTTATTCGATATCCTCTATATCTTACAGGTCGGAACTCCCATATGTGTTCCTCAAAGAGATTTCATCGAACTTGGCCGGATTGCTTCAATTGAAAACAATTACAAGCCTGTTGATTTTGCCAAAAAAGGCCATAAGGTTGCCATTAAGGTATGATAATATAGACTGCTGTCTTCCAGGGTATATTTATTAGTTTTCGACCTTAAATTACCACATGCATATTGCCGCTGTTCGATTAGACCATTTTCAGTTGCAATCAGAGTTTACAATCCGCTTAGTTTTCATCGAAAAAAAACAGACCTGAAAACCCAACCACACTATACAACTATCACTTGTTTGTTTCATTTCTCTAATCTTGCAATGTTATTTCCCACAGATAATCGGCAGCAACCCCGACGAACAGCAGAAGATGTTTGGCAGGCATTTCGAGATTGAGGATGAGCTCGTGAGCAAAATCAGCAGAACCTCACTCGATGCTCTCAAAGAATATTTTGCGGTATGTCAAAACATCCTGAATCTACATAATGTCTTACTCCCACCTTCCAACACTGCGACTAAACTTCACATCACACATTTACAGGACGATTTAACTGCCGAAGACAAGCGACTACTATTCAAATTGAAACGACTCTTCAAGATCCCTTGAGTCCTCTCGCAGGAACGGGCTTAGCAATACGCTAATTCTGAAAATCCTTCCACACTGAAATGAGCCAACACCTAAATCTTGCACGATCATCAGGTATCTTCTACTGTGGGGGAGTTTTTATGGGACAAGAAAATGTCCATTCCTCCCAGAATTTTGGTTTTGCACTTTATATATATATATATATATAATATATCGGGGAGTTTGATTCTGTTTTCGACGGTAAAATCGACTAGTGTTTTCGGAAGAACTGGGTATTCTTTTATTGAACTGCCTAACATGATGAAATGGGGGTTTTTGGAGAGTTTCATCGTTGGTTCTGAATGCTTTTGGTTTTAAACTTTGGTGCTTGCAGCCTCCTATTTGTATGTGATGGCTTAAGGACTGTATATCTATATATATATATATATATATGCATACATATATTTATTTTTTATGTGATGTTTTTATTTGGGAAAAATAAATATTTGATGTGGTATTTTAATTTAATTTTTATTTTTTGAAAAAAAATTATGTATGAAAATGGAGCTTTAAATTTGGGGATTCAAATTTCAGGGTATACTTGTTTGGAACTTTTGGAAATTTCGGATATTTTTTAAGTGACATTAAATATATTTTTTATAAAATATTATATTAAATATTAATTTTTTTATTATTAAGCTTTTCAACATTGTAAGAAGTTTTAATATTTGTAGTATTTTTTTTTTAAATAAGTATAATATTGAAGGATATAAACTAAAATTAAAGAATAGGTATTTAATTTATTGTTTTTTAAGAAAGAAATTTTATTTTAACTAAAAAAATTTAAAAATGTATGTGAAAGTATTATTCCCTTGTCCTAAAACAATAAGGAGCTGGGATGAACGTTAAGAAATAATAGTGTTATTGATAGTGGGTCTCTGTGTAATTATTGTAAAAATATTAGAGGTAATTTTATAAAAATCGGGGAATAGGTTGAAATGGCAAAATAATTATTATTTTAGAATAGAAAGAGTATAATATGTTTTAGGGAAAAAATCAATTTTAGTCCCAATATAATTAAAATTTTATCAATTTTAGTCCTAATATAAAAAATTCATCAATTTTGGTTCCTATATAATCAAAATTTATTAATTTTGGTCCAAATATAATAAAATCATTAATTTTATTCTCAATATAAACAATTTCAATCAATTTTGGTCTCATTATAAACAATTTCAATCAATTTTGGTCCTACCGTTAAAAAATTAACGGAATTGTTTACGTGGACAGGACGGAGGTGATGTGGCAGTTGACTTGGAAAGTACACGGTCATGTACAATTATATACGGCCATGTTGTTACATGGCCATGTATATTTCAGTGTATAATTATACATGGCCATGTTGTTACATGTCCATGTACAATTATAAACGGTCATGTTGTTACCGGGCTATGTATATTTCAGTGTATAGTTATACATGATCATGTTGTTACACGGCCATGTTGTTACATGACCATGTATATTTCAGTGTATAATTATACAAGGCCATGTTGTTACACAGTCATGTATAATTCTACACGACCCTGTTGTTACAGGATCACGTATATTTCAGTGTATAATTATACATGGTCATGTTGTTACACAGCCATCTACAATTATACACGGCCATGTTGTTACATGACAATGTATATTTCAGTGTATAATTATACATGACCATGTTGTTACACGACCATGTATAATTCTATACGGCCGTGTACCTTTCTGTTTCGGTCTAAAATTTTAATTTTTTGTTATATTTTTTTAATTTTTTTTTTGAATTTAGAATAGTTGATATAGTTAAAATGGAAGAAAAAAAATCAATAATAATCATAATATAAAAAAATATATCAATTTTAGTTCAAATATAAGTATTTATCGAGTATGTTCTTTTGGAAGATTTTGTTTAAAATTCTACTATTTAGCCAAAAAAAAAAAAAATTCTCTTACAACCATTCAATTAATGTATTGAAATAATAATTTTTTTTAATACTACTATAATATACAAAATTAAAAAATAATTGTGTAATGGGATGTTTGTAATTTTTTTTTTTTTTTTTTTTATGAATAATAAAATTTTAGACAAAATATTTCAAAAATATATATCTTATAAATTTTTATATTTGAATTAAAATTGATAAATTTTAATTATATTATAATTACTATTGATTTTGTCAATTTTAACTATATCAACTATTTTAAATTCAAAATAATTTTTTTTTAAAAAAAATAATAAAAAAATAAAATTTTAAACTAAAATAGAAATGTACGTGACCATATATAATTATAAACGGCCGTGTAACAACATGGCCATGTATAATTATACACGTAACAACATGGCCGTGTATAATTGTACATGGCCGTGTACTTTCCAGGTCGACTGCCACGTCACCTCCGTCATGTTCACGTCAGCAATTTCCGTTAGCTTTTTAACGGTGGGACCAAAATTGATATAATAATAATGAATTAAGATATAAATAATATTAATACATCTAAAGGTGAAACAAATATCAAAATAGACTTTTTTTTTTTTTTTTTAGCACAGTTTTTATTGAAAATATATTATTTTTTTTTATAAAATATTATATCAAAATACTATTTAAGTTAATTTCGATACGATGATAATAATATACTAATTTGACATCTTCGATATTTTTTAGATAGTAAAAAAAAAATTCAACGAAAAAAATATAAATAAATAAATAAATGATCATTTATTTAATATATATATATATAATATGTACATATTTGTTTCATGCCAAAATACTAAATTTGATATCAACATACCGAATCATCGGTATATATTAACATATCGAATACCAATTAAATAGTATATGGTAATTTTCATATACCAAAATACCTTAGTTTATAAAAAAAATTAAATTATATACTATTACTTAGTTTATAAAAAAAATTAAATTATATACTATTACCATAACAAAAAAAAGTTAATGATCTTATGTACTAAATCTTTTTGTATTTTTCCAATACAATTTATAAGGTATTTTGACATTTATATATGTTTCTACGGCTAGAAACATTCGAAAATTATTTTTGATATATAACGAAGATGATATTTTTATTTTTATGTTTTTTTTACTCCTGTGTTAATTCTTTTCATTTTTGACATATAGAATACATTGAAAGTAGAAAATAAAAAATAATTTATTTATGGATTCTCAATTTCAATCAAATAACAAAAATAAATATATTTCATTTTCTCAGTCAATAAAGCATCCCTAACAGTGATTTTAAAATAATAAAAAAAACTTTTAAAATAAATTTTATTTCCTTATACTAGTATAAGATAGTTTAAATAATGCATAAATTAATCAATTTTTTATTTTTATTTTTAATTAATCAATTAATAAATACTTTATAAAATAATAATAATAATAATAATAATAATAATAATAATAAAAAGTACTATAAAGAGAGAGAGAGCGTTCTCGGTCTCTGCTCAGTACTCGACAATGGTGTGATCTTTTTATACTGCAGGAATGAAGGCGACATCGAATGGTTCGCTTCCAATACCGGCTTCCTGTGGGAGATCGCTCCTCGTTTTCGTGCCATGGTCGTCTTTCCCGAGGTAATCCTGTTTCTGTTATGTATCTTTATTTCGCAAATTCGGATTGTGTAGGAATGAAATTTCGTACGGTTTCGTTGAATTGAAAATTTGTGCATCGCATATGTGTTTGTGGTAACATTACGCTTTCACACCCATTGGAAGAGAATATTTCCATTTTAGTTTCTTATTGATTGCAAACATACACTCAAGAAGCGGACATTGTAATGGCTGCTTGAGAGGTTATAAATAATTTCTTGTTACTGAGGAATTAGGGTAAAATTGGCAATGCTTTTGGTAAGATCAGAATGCTCTGTATTGACAGCATAGGTACTATGGAGAGTCGATGCCGTATGGCAGTAAGGAGGTGGCCTATAAGAATGTAACCACGCTAGCTCATTTAACAGCTGAGCAAGCCCTTGCTGATTTTGCTGTGTTGATCACTGACTAGAAGAGGAATTTGTCTGCCCAAGCTTGTCCTGTCGTGCTTTTTGGTGGATCATAAGGTGGAAGTATGTGCAATTCCTTTTCTGTTTTTCGGCTTTAGACTATAATTTACAGTCATTTGTTTTTTTATTTATTTTGTAAGTTTATTGCCTACATGATGAGTCTTTGACATAGTGTTGTCTGCGTGGATGAGGCTGAAGTATCCCCACATTGCGCCAGTGCTTCAATTTGAGGATGTTGTGCCTTCGGAGACATTTTACGATATTGTCTCTAATGGCTTCAGAGTATGCCTTTACTTTTGCTTGTTATATTTTTCTTAGATTTGAATAGGCTCTTCTTCTGGAGTACTGTTTGATTCTTTCCTCGGCAGCGTGAGAGTGTTAGCTGCTTTAATACTATAAAAGAATCATGGGATGCAATAGAAACCGAGGCACAGAAAAGTAATGGGCTTTCTTATTTGACTGAAGCTTTTGGTTTTTGCAGGTAAGGATGTATGAACTACATTTTCTAGTTCAAATCGTTTTCTTGAAATAAGTTCATTAGTACCTGGTTAGGAGGTTTCTTCGCTGTAGCTATCTTTGTGGAATTTGTGAATGAAGTTGAATTGGCAGGAAACTAAAGAGTGTTGATGATCTTTATGACTGGCTGGAGTCACTTATAGTTATTTGGCAATGGCAAACTATCCATACCCGTCGGACTTTCTAATGCCGTTGCCTGGAAATGAGGTTTGATTGTCTGTTTAGTTTGTTATTTGATATTCCATCATTATGACACCATTTGGTATGGGATCAAACAATATGTTTTTGTGCTTCCACCAAATATTTATGCTGACAAGTGCTTTCCAAGTTTTCGTTTTTGCTTCTAATTGCTTATAAATGTTGTGTTGTGAAGCTCCAAGCTAAAGCCTAGAGAGTAATGTACGCCCAACCACTCGGACACTGCTGGGGTTTTGCATTTAACGAAAATACTAGTGAAAATATTTGGCATGGCTACCCCTAGCGTAGATCAATCCGATCGAATTGAGTCACCAAATTACTTTTTTTGTGTGTGTGTGTGTGTGTGTTTTCATCTTCATTTCGGTACAATTAAAATAGTTACTTCTTGATTTTTATTTTTTAAAATTTTTTATTTTTATTTCTTCTTTAACCAATTTAATATGTACTAGATTGATTGGTTTCAACTATTACAACATGTTTTCTTGATTTTTTTTATATTTAAGGTTAGAAATTCATTTGATCACATAAATTATTTATTATGTTTCAAACATCTACCGTTGATATTTTTCTATTAAGGCTTTATTTGCTAACATTTTAACTATTCCATGGGATTCTTATTTTGAATTTTGAGGTTTTCGGAGGTAAGAGTAGAATGTAGAAGGATTAAGTGATGAAGCATTTTAAGTTTCCTCCAACCTTTCCAAGTGATAATTTAACAATTTTGAGTGAATGATTTAAGTGATTTTGAAAGATTTGTGAAATGGTGTTTTGGGTACATTGTTTTTTCCTTAACCATTACATAACGGGCAATGGTTTTAATAAACAATACGTTGTCTAATTGCTCACCAAAGCCTTTCCCTCGGTCAGGTATGTAGGAAGATTGATGAATTTCTCAATGGGATTGATGTCTTGAAGCGCATATTCGTTGGAGTTAGCGTTTATTACAATTACACTGGTAGAGTTGATTGCTTCGATGTGGATGATGACCCTCATGGTATGAGGGGGTGGAATTGGCAGATGTGACTTTGCTAATGTTTTCTCACTTCATGTGCACATTCTTGTATAACTTAAAAGTAATTGTTTGCTTAAATTTGTAGGCCTGCACCGAGATGGTAATGCCTATGTCTAGTAGCAGGAATGGTAGCATGTTTCCAACATACGACTATAACTACTCTTCCATGGTAGAGTGGTGTTTTGAGAGTTATCATGTCAAGCCCAGACCTAACTGGATAACTACTGAATTTGGTGGACATGTATGTGCATATATATATATATATGTATGTATATAATTATATGTGCTCTTCTAATGTGATTTTCCTTGTTAGCCAACATACCAGTGAATAGAGAAAATGACAAATTTCAAACACAAGGATTATATTGTTACTTTTTTAAGTACTATAGGCTATAGTGTCACACGAGGGACTTCAAAAGTGATTAACTCTTTTTTTTTTTTTCTTTCAATTTTTTCAATAATAAAGGGATTCAAGAAATTCCTTGGAAACTTTGGAAGCAATATCATTTTCTCCAATGGGCTATTGGACTCCTAGAGCGGCGGCAGGTAAAATCTTTGTTGTTTATCTGTGTATGTATAATAGTCATCGACTACTGATTCTTGATAAAACTGATGATATTGTTGCAGTGTTTTGGAGTATGTATCCGAAACCATTGTAGCTCTTGTAACATAAAAAGGTAACTGCACTAGAACCATATTTCAATCTTTGCTGCCCTAATTAAACATCATTATTTTGCTTTTACCGTTGTTTCAATAAATATTATGCAATAAAATAAATCTTCTGGTGAAATAGGAGTTTGAGAGGTGTCTTATTTCCATGCTTTTATGCATGTAGAGTTCAGTGGTGTATTTGAGTGTAATTATAAGTTTACACAGATGAACTTAGTAGTTTGGGTAGTTAGCAAGTGAGCTACTAACATTAAGGAGAGATTACGAGAGTTCAACATTTACGTCGTGTTGAAAGTTAAGTGTCAGCATGTATGGTGTTTAATTATGTGCAAATTACATTCATATTATTGTCTTGGTTGGTTGGTAGGTGCCCATCACTTGGATTTGCAACCGGAAACTACCGAGGATCCCAACTGGCTGTTGGAGCATAGGCCCGTCGAAGTCAAGTTGATTCTTCAGCATATCAGTAGATTCAAATTTTAAGGTATGTTGCTTCTATAATTTGAGAAAGTAGACATCATATTTAGCAAAAAAAAAATGTGGCAATTTCAGGCTGATGTTACTCACTCCGACACGCAAAAAATAAGTGCATTTTTTGCGAGGGACAGAGTAATATCTTTTGGTTTGTCTTTGGTTGTTTTAAAATTCAAGCCTAATAGGCCCGGCCTGATTCTGGATTGGGCTTGAAAACCCAAACCAAGGCATGATCCGGTTTCAAATTATACCGGGCCAGGCCAGCCCACATTTTTTATATTAAGTTTTAATTAAATTTTGTGTTTTTTTTTTTTTTAACTAGAAAATAAGTTATATTAGTCTAAATTGACATACTTAGGAAAAAATATGTTTATTGATAATTAAGAATTTAAAAAAAATTAATGCATACAAGTCCCGGGACATAAACACGATTCTATTACTATATGCAAGAAGCTAGAATAAATGCAAAACATACATGTAAATGAAAAAGAATGAAATACTCCCTATTATATGTTCGGTGGATCATCCGACCATTCTCTCTCGTATGCATCTAAGAAGATTTCAAATAGATATTAATATATGTGCATAGGAAACAACAAAATTATATTAAAACCATTTATTTGAAATCGAGATCGAAGGATCTTTGCGGATACTCTAATCTCCCTATAAGCTTTACCTACAAACTAAAAACACTAAAAGATAAGTTAGTATAAAATTTAGAAATAAAATTAATGCATAGATGTCCCGAGATGTAAAAATAAATCTATTTTTATATACATAACGCTAAAATTAATGCATGCATGTCCCGGGACGTAAAAATAAATCTATTTCTATATGCATAATGCTAAATTAAATTAAATGCATAAATGTAAAAGGGAATAGACGAATTACTCCCTATGATCTATTCGGTCGTCCGATCATCCGGCCACTTCCTCTCGTATGCATCTAAAAAGATTTAGAATAGATATTAATATATATGTATAGGAAACAACAAAATAATATTAAAATCACTTACCTTGGATTTGAAATCGAGATCGAAGGATCTTTGTGGATCCCCTCGTCTCCACATAAGCTTTACCTACAAATTAAAAACACTTAAAAAAATAAGTTAGTATAAAATATAGAAACAAAATGAATGCATGCATGTCCCGGGACCGACGTAAAAATAAATCTATTTCTATATGCATAATGCTAAATTAAATTAAATGCATAAATGTAAAAGGAAAGGGACGAATTACTCCCTATGATCTATTCGGTCGTCCGATCATCCGGCCACTCCCTCTTGTATGCATCTAAAAAGATTTAGAATAGATATTAGTATATATGTATAGGAAACAACAAAATAATATTAAAATCACTTACCTTGGATTTTAAATCGAGATCGAAGGATCTTTGCGGATCCCCTCGTCTCCGATAAGCTTTACCTAGAAAATAAAAACACTTAAAAAATAAGTTAGTATAAAATTTTGGAACAAAATTAATGCATGCATGTCCCGGGACGGACGTAAAAATAAATCTATTTCTATATACATAATGTTAAATTAAATTAAATGCATAAATGTAAAAGAAAATGGACGAATTACTCCCTATGATGTATTCGGTCGTCCGATCATCCGACCCTCCCTCTCGTATGCATCTAAAAATATTTAGAATAGATATTAGTATATGTATGCATAGGAAAAAATAAAAAAAATTTAAAACCATTTACCTTGGGTTTGAAATAGGGTTCGAATTATATTTGCGGCTCATCTCATCCCCCGTAGCTTTACCTACAAAATAAAAACACTTAAAAAATAAGTTAGTATAAAATTTAGGAACAAAATGAATGCATGCAAGTCCCGGGATATGCAAGAAAATAAAATAAATGGAAAGCGTAAATTAAGAGAAAAAGTAGGAGATACTCCCTATTATGGGATATCCTTCGAGTTCGAAGGATATTCGCCGATCCTCTCGTCTCCCATAAGCTTTACCTACAAAATAAAAACACTCAAACAAACAAGTTAATATAAAATTTAGGAACAAAATGAATGCATGCAAGTCCCGGGATATGCAAGAAAAAAAATAAATGGAAAGCGTAAATTAAAAGAAAAAGTAGGAGATACTCCCTATTATGGGATATCCTTCGAGTTCGAAGGATATTCGCGGATCCTCTCGTCTCCCATAAGCTTTACCTACAAAATAAAAACACTCAAAACAAAAGTTAGTATAAAATTTAGTAACAAAATGAATGCATGCAAGTCCCGGGATATGCAAGAAAATAAAATAAATGGAAAGCGTAAATTAAAAGAAAAAGTAGGAGATACTCCATATTATGGGATATCCTTCGAGTTCGAAGGATATTCGCGGATCCTCTCGTCTCCCACAAGTCTTACCTAGAAAATAAAAACACTTAAAAAACAAGTTAGTATAAAATTTAGGAACAAAATTAATGCATGCAAGTCCCGGGATATGCAAGAAAATAAAATATATGAAAAGCGTAAATTAAAAGAAAAAGTAGGAGATACTCCCTATTATGGGATATCCTTCGAGTTCGAAGGATATTCGCCGATCCTCTCGTCTCCCATAAGGTTTACCTACAAAATAAAAACACTTAAAAAACAAGTTAGTATAAAATTTAGGAACAAAATTAATGCATGCAAGTCCCGGGATATGCAAGAAAATAAAATAAATGGAAAGCGTAAATTAAAAGAAAAAGTAGGAGATACTCCCTATTATGGGATATCCTTCGAGTTCGAAGGATATTCGCCGATCCTCTCGTCTCCCATAAGCTTTACCTACAAAATAAAAACACTTAAAAAACAAGTTAGTACAAAATTTAGGAACAAAATTAATGCATGCAAGTCCCGGGATATGCAAGAAAATAAAATAAATTTAAGGCGTAAATTAAAAGAAAAAGTAGGAGATACTCCCTATTATGGGATATCCTTCGAGTTCGAAGGATATTCGCCGATCCTCTCGTCTCCCATAAGCTTTACCTACAAAATAAAAACACTCAAAAAACAAGTTAGTATAAAATTTAGGAACAAAATGAATGCATGCAAGTCCCGGGATATGCAAGAAAATAAAATAAATTTAAAGCGTAAATTAAAAGAAAAGGTAGGAGACACTCCCTGTTATAGGATATCCTTCGAGTTCGAAGGATATTCGCGGATCCTCGCGTTACCTTGTGCATCTAATAGCCTAGAACATAATGAACAATAATATATCAACAAGTTGAAGAATAATAATACCGAATAACTTAAGAAATTACATGATTTCAAATGAGGTATGTATGGTCTAATTAGTCAATCAAGATAAACAAACTTTCATATTAAAATCTTGAGTAATATATTAAATCACAAAAAGAAGAGATTGAAATTCAAATTACCATTTATGGTTTCCGGAACAGCCAAAGCAGCTTCTTGATCTTAAAACAGGAAGGATCGATCGATGCAAAATGATAAGCAATCGTAAGAACTCAAACTCGCATAAGGGCAGTACATGGAGAATTAAAAGAATCAGAAATGACTCACCAAGATTGCTTCGATCGAGATCCAAGAACACTTGACCCTCGCCCTGTCCTGTAAGCAGCCCCACCCCCACCTCTTCGTAATTCATTCCTCCCCACCCCTGCCTTGCCCTGCTCCAAGGCCAACTCGTACCCCACCCCTGCCTCTTTGTAATTCATTCCTCCCCACCCCCACCCCCCCCTGCCTGCTCCAAGGCCAACTCGTACCCCACCCCCACCTCTTCGTAATTCATTCCTCCCCACCCCCACCCCTGCCCTGCCCTGCTCCAAGGCCAACTCGTACCCCACCCCCACCTCTTCGTACTCCCACACCCCACCCCTGCCCTGCTCCAAGACCAACTTGTACCCCATTGCATTGCAGCCCCTCCACCCAAATCATGAATATTTATAATGTATGGGTTAACAGCTACTTACCTTATATAATTATAATAACGGCTACTTACCTTATTTAGTTTTTTTTAAATTTATTTGAAAACTTACCTTATATAAATACAATAACGGCTACTTACCTTATTTAGCTTTTTTTAAAATTTATTTGAAAACTTATCTTATTTAATTATAATAACGGTTACTTACCTTATTTAGCTTTTTTTAAATTTATTTGAAAACTTACCTTATTTAATTATAATAACGGCTACTTACCTTATTTAGCTTTTTTAAAAATTTATTTGAAAACTTACCTTATTTAAATCTAATAACGGCTACTTACCTTATTTAGTTTTTTTTAAAATTTATTTGAAAACTTACCTTATTTAAATCTAATAACGGCTACTTACCTTATTTAAATCTAATAACGGTTACTTACTTTATTTAGTTTTTTTAAAATTTATTTGAAAACTTACCTTATTTAAAAGTTTTTAAAATTTATTTGAAAACTTACCTTATTTAATATCTCTTACCATAATTTTAAATTTTTTTAAATTTATTTGAAAACTTATCTTATTTAACTTTTTTTTAAAAATTTATTTGAAAATTTATCTTATTTAAAATCTCTTACCATAATTTTAATTTTTTTTTAAATTTATTTAAAAATTTACCTTATTTAAATCTTTTTTTAAAAATTTATTTAAAAATTTACCTTATTTAAATTTCGCATTTTACTATTGTACCCTCCTACCTAATAAAAAAATAATTTCTTTTTTTTTAATATTATATGTATATATATATTTATATTTAAATTATATTTTATTGGTTCTATAAAAATATAATATTTTATTTATCATAATTAATTTTATTTATATTTAATTATATTTTAATATTTGTAGTATTTTTTTAAAAAAAATAAGTATAATATTGAAGGATATAAACTAAAATTAAAAATAAGTATTTAATTTATTTTTTTTTAAGAAGAAATTTTATTTTAACTAAACAAATTTAAAAATGTATGTGAAAGTATTATTCCCTTGTCCTAAAACAATAAGGAGTTGGGATGAACGTTAAGAAATAATAGTGTTATTGATAGTGGGTCTCTGTGTAATTATTGTAAAAATATTAGAGGTAATTTTATAAAAAATCGGGGAATTGGTTGAAATGGCAAAATAATTATTATTTTAGAATAGAGAGAGTATAATATGTTTTAGGGAAAAAATCAATTTTAGTCCCAATATAATCAAAATTTTATCAATTTTAGTCTTAATATAAAAAATTCATCAATTTTGGTTCCTATATAACCAAAATTTATCAATTTTGGTCCAAATATAAAAAAATCATTAATTTTATTCTCAATATAAACAATTTCAATCAATTTTGGTCTCATTATAAACAATTTCAATCAATTTTGGTCCTACCGTTAAAAAATTAACGGAATTGTTTACGTGGACAGGACGGAGGTGATGTGGCAGTTGACTTGGAAAGTACACGGTCATGTACAATTATATACGACCATGTTGTTACATGGCCATATATATTTCAGTGTATAATTATACATGGTCATGTTGTTACATGTCCATGTACAATTATAAACGGTCATGTTGTTACCGGGCTATGTATATTTCAGTGTATAGTTATACATAATCATGTTGTTACATGACCATGTATATTTCAGTGTATAATTGTATAAGGCCATGTTGTTACACAGTCATGTATAATTCTACACGATCATGTTGTTACAAGGTCACGTATATTTCAGTGTATAATTATACATGGTCATGTTGTTACACAGCCATGTACAAATATACACGGTCATATTGTTACATGACCATGTATATTTCAGTGTATAATTATACATGACCATGTTGTTACACGACCATGTATAATTCTATACGGCCGTGTACTTTTCTGTTTCGGTCTAAAATTTTAATTTTTTCTTATATTTTTTATTTTATTTTTAATTTAGAATAGTTGATATAGTTAAAATGGGAAAAAAAATCAATAATAATCATAATATAATGAAAATATATCAATTTTAGTTCAAATATAAGTATTTATCGAGTATGTTCTTTTGAAAGATATTGTCTAAAATTCTACTACTATTTAAAAAAAAAATTCTCTTACAAATATCCAATTAATGTATTGAAATAATAAATTAATTTTAATACTACTATAATATACAAAATTAAAAAATAGTTGTGTAATTGTATGTTTGTAAGAGAAATTTTTTTTTTATGAATAATAAAATTTTAGACAAAACCTTTCAAAAGAATATATATTATAAATTTTTATATTTGAATTAAAATTTATAAATTTTAATTATATTATAATTATTATTGACTTTGTCCATTTTAACTATATCAACTATTTTAAATTCAAAATAATTTTTTTAAAAAAATAACAAAAAAATAAAATTTTAAACTAAAATAGAAATGTACATGGCCGTGTATAATTGTACATGGCCGTGTAACAACATGACCATGTATAATTATACACTAAAATACACATGAACAACATGGCCGTGTATAATTGTACATGGCCGTGTAACAACATGACCATGTATAATTATACACTGATATACATGGTTATGTAACAACATGGCCGTGTATAATTGTACATGGCCGTGTAACAACATGACTATGTATAATTATATACTGAAATATACATTATCATGTAACAACATGGTCGTATATAATTGTACATGACCGTGCCACGTCACATCCGTCATGTCCACATCAGCAATTTCCGTTAGTTTTTTAACGGTGAGACCAAAATTGATTGAAATTGTTTATAATAGACCAAAATTGATTGAACTTGTTTATACTGGGACTAAAATTGATGTGTTTTTTTTATATTGGGACCAAAATTGATAAATTTTAGTTTTATTGAGACCAAAATTGATGAGTTTTTTCTATATTGAAACCAAAATTGATAAATTTTAGTTATATTAGACCGATTTTTCCCCTAATAATAATAATTGTTTACAATTTATACTTACTTTTGTAACCTTTAATGATTTGCGTTCATAGCATCACCTAACAAAATAAATAAAAATAAAAATAAAACTTAAGCAACTTCTGTAAAATTTCAATAGTCAAACTACACATAACGTCGGACAAATAACCAACGGCCAAGCGATTCCCAAAACCCGATTTCAGAGATGGCGGACGGCGATCGGGTCGGAGAAATCGAGGAGGAGGAGGAAGAAGAAGCTGCGGCGCCGCTGATACCGAAGACAACGGAATCCGATTCCCCTAAGAAACGGACTCGAACAGTTAGAACGAAAGTTCCGGAGGCGGAGGTGCAGGTATACAGGAATGGGAAGGGTCCGATCGACGTATTCACGACGGCGCTGGGCGGCTGGGACCAGGACCAGCTGGAGATCAGAGAAATTCTGGAGAAGTATGGCTTCAAGTCGGTGTACGCCTTCACCCCTGGATCGGGTCGCGGCGTGCCTATCAGGTTCAATCCTCGGAACGGACGGTCGATGCTCACGTATAGAGATGGCGCCGTCGTGTATCTCGACGGGGAGCCCAAGGTAAGACCTAGAAGCAGAAATTGATGCTTATTTGCGATTATGCTCTTCATTTTTTGTTTGAGGTGAATGTTCTGTATTTGATGTGATTTCTTCGTTGAGTTAGGGATTCCAATTGATCAATCCGCCGAAAATTAGGTTAAATTGATGATAACGGGATGGAATTGGGAACTTATATAAGGTGTTTCTTAGTAAAAACAAACAAACAAAAAATAGTACCGTCTGAAGCTATTGTTGCTTTCTTGTCCTTGATCTGTTTGCATCTCCATTGATGTATGTGTTGGAGCTTCTTAGATTCAGAACTTTTGATAATTGTTTTTCATCATAATATATGCCATTGTTAGAAGAACTGAATGAATACATATAAACTGAAGCATTTTAGTATAAGCGTAAGAGTGTGATTGTTTGTGTTTATTGTGAAAGTATTTTAGGGCACAATACATTGTAATGTTTGGTTAATAATTTTGGAAAGTTGGGTAAGAAAACTGGAAACTTCGAGGCAAAATGGACATTTAACGTAGTATGAAAGCTGAAATTCGGAATGTTTATTCAACAATGGAAATGTATAGTTTGCATGAGAATGCTTTTTGTGATGCTTTTTGGTATATTAACATACACACTTTTGAAAGTTCTTGCACTTTTCATCACATTATTCATTTTTATCAAAAAAAAACATAACATTAAATATCTATTTTCTCACAAAGCATCAAATTGGATACTCAACTTTTTCTTATTCTCAAAAAATTTTAAAACTAAATAAACGTCTACCTAAATGATTCATGTAACAAAAGGAGTTGTGTGCTATGGTTCATGTACTAAGTTTTCACGGTCTGTAGGACAAACACTTTTGTGAATTCGATCCAAGTTTTTAGGGAAGCTATTTTAAAGTGCATTTTAGATCTTTAACTGCTGTAACACAAGAAGTTAGTCTGATGTAAGTTTTGATTCTTGTTTGTTGATTTCGAGTCTCCTTTGTGATGTTGAACTTGCCCGATTAAGTATTTTGGCTCCTGCTGAAACTTTGTAACTTGATCGAGAATTGTTTTGAATGTGTTTCTTTAAGGTTTGGATTTAGGTTTGAGGTTCGATAACAATAAAAATTTGATTTGAATTAGTATTTTGATGTAATATGAATATGTTTTTTTATGTGACATTTTGTGTAATATATTAAATAAAAAACAAGACTAATAGCTGTTTGATCCGATGATTTTTTGCGGGAAAATTTTTGATAAATAGGGGGATACTAAAACCAAACCTTAAATAAACAAAGCCTTTGGGTGTGTTTGTTTTGTGGGTTTTAGTTTTTGGGTTTGGATTTTTTAATAGTAAAATGTTGAATTTAAATAGTTGTTTGATATGACATAAATAGAGGTTGATGTGATATTTTGAATGTAAAATTAATTTATAGTATAATATAAAAAAGGAAAAGTAATTGCTTGATGTGATATTTTTTAGGGAAAAACAATGAATAGTAAAAACATGGGGTAAAATCTACAAAAGAACACAACCTTTGTGATTGGTTTTGGTTTTTCGGTTTATCCAGTGATTTGATGTGATATTTTGTAAGGTAAAAATATCTTTTATTTGTACGGGGAATCATAAGAATTACTCGATCATAAAAAAGTTGGAAAAATAAAATTCAAATAGAACAGTGCGGAATCGATGATGGTAATCTCACACTATTATTTTAGGCTCGATGTTAGAATAGCATCCTACTATGCTTGTAATGGTAATGGTAATGGTAATAGTAAATTTTTTACTACGCCGCCTGATATTCTTTCAAGTGACCGAGCCATTTGTGATTTATGTTTGTTTGTTTGATTGTTTTAACCAATCCGGTGTAATAAAAAAATTTATTTCTTACTTCTTCACACAAACTCGTGGTTCCCACGTGGCAGGACTCGTTGCTGAATCCCATCACGAAGATCTTAGTCGGGGTGGCAGCAATCACGGCGATGATCGTGCTGTTTACGAAAGAGGTCTCGGCCCCGGAGTGGGCGCAGAAGTTCAACTTCTCGGGCGGCTACATTCCTCCGTGGGTTCTAGCTTGCGCAGTCATTGTTTTCACTCGAATGAGGAAGAGAACCAAGACTTTTCTTGAAAACTACTTTCACTAAGAGTCGGACAATCATAATCGGTGCGCAATTCCTCTTTCGGATACGTACATGGCCGTGTTTTCAGAGTTTTGGGGTGAGTTTTTGAACTCGTATATTTGGTTTTTATAGCGTGGAAATTTGTTGCCGCTAGTTATTTTAAGTGCGGATTTGGTGTGCATAAGTCGAACGTAATAACTTTGCAAATTAGACAAAGCTAAACCATCCTGTTAGAAAGTACACTAACTGTGGATGTAACAGTTGGCGTGTATAATTGATTGCTTAAACTTGGTATAGTCTCATGTTTTGCTTTAATAAATATTTCCACTGCTAACACATGGGTGTTGTTGTTTTATTAAACTTTATTTAAGATTTCCTACAAAAATACAAAACAAATCAGAATAACCAAAAAAAAAAAAAAAAAATTGTATTTGATTTGTGTTTCAAATCAAAATTACCACAATTATTAATAAAATTATATTATTTTTTTTATAAATATTATATTAAGATATTATTTAAATACAATACTAATATTAAATAAATGAAAAACCCTAAACTAAACACGTTTGGAATTTAGTTTCTATTTATTAGTACTGTGCAGTTCAAATTATTATTAAATCAAAATTCAAATTTTAATTTCAAAAGAATGTATAGGCTCTATTTATATAATAGAACTTTTTGTAGTTTTTGAAAAATTTGTTATTAGTAAATCATTAATATTTTTTATGCCATAAAAAATGCAATCTTTCTTTATTTTTGTTTTATAAGTAAAGTGACAAAAATATCAAATCAATTTTCATTAACTACTATTTATTAGTTTATTAGAAAATAAAACAACTAAGAGAGTACTAATTTATTTTTATTTTTTTTAACTTAAAATCATGTTCAAACAGAATGAATTTATTGATTAACGATTTGTTTATTTTTATCATTTCAAGCTAAAATAAATATTATTTATTTGTATAATTTCTAATAAAAATACTACATTCGTCCACTATTTATTTTCATATTAATTTCTAAACATTAATTATTATATTAGTATAAATTAAAAAAATAATAATTAAAATATTTTTATTAGTGTCTTGTCGTACTAATATAATAATATTTATATAAAAAATTATACAAATATAAAAATATTTTTAATATTAAAAATAATAACGGCTAAATGCAAATGGATAAATCGGTATATTATTTTTTTATTAAATAATATTTAAACAAAAAATCAAATTAATATTATATTTCATGTCAATTTCAAATACAAATATGGGCATGGAGTTTGGTTTTTGTTCATACCGTAGAGTTAAATGAATAAGTACGATAATTAATAGTAATTAATTAAGTAATTAAAAAGTCGAAATAATCCCCCAATCAATCAATCAATAAATAAATACATAAAAAAAAGTCAACAGTGTTTACGATTCAGATCGAAATTGGCGCGCCCCTTTTTCGTCTTCCCATTTCTCTTTCCAACAGCTGCACTCGTTGCCACGCCACGCCTCGTCCCCCTTCGATTCCGATTCTGATCTCCCTCGACGAAAAATTCCGATTCACACAATCCCAATCAGATGTCAATGCGGAGGAGAACGTTGCTCAAAGTGATCGTCCTCGGCGACAGCGGGTAAATTTTTTTGTTCAATTTTGCTATATGTATTCTATGTGTTTGTTCTAAAATTGTTTCCGAGTTAGGGTTTGCTGCTTGATTTCAATTTGTTTGATGTTTTCAGGGTGGGTAAAACCTCGTTGATGAATCAGTATCCTTTTTTAATTCCATGTCTCGTTGATAGGGCAGATGTCGTTTTCTTCCTTGTTCTTCGTTAATAATGATCGTAGGTGATATTGCTGTTAGGCTTTTTTGTTTTTTTGTTCCTCTTTGTTTGTCGTTTACTGATGAAATAGATATGTGCACAAGAAGTTTAGTCAGCAGTACAAAGCTACAATTGGGGCTGATTTTGTTACCAAAGAATTGCAAATAGACGATCGTCTTGTGACTCTTCAAGTGAGTACTTGTTTTTGCTTCACATTGTGCTGAATTATTCAGCTATAACGATATTTTTTCAAGAATCGGTGGTGTTTCATTAATTAATGAGGTGATGGGCAGATTTGGGACACTGCTGGACAGGAGAGATTTCAAAGTCTTGGGGTTGCATTTTATCGAGGGGCTGATTGCTGTGTTTTGGTCTACGACGTGAATGTGATGAGATCTTTTGACACCCTTGACAACTGGCACGAAGAATTTCTCAAGCAGGTTTGTGCTTGCTTACTTTTTGGTGTTCGTTGGTAGAATAGGAGTTTGTTTTTTTCTATTTCGGCGTGTGGTTAATATATTTACGGTAATTAGGATGCTCCTTTTGTTATGTACGTGCTAGTGTATTGATTGATTTTCCAACATATTACAGCAGCATGAGGCTTTATATATGTTGGGTCGATAGGCGCTTTGAAATGTTTCGGAATTTTTTGTTGGTTTGGGAATTGTATAAAATTGAATAGGACATAAGTTTTTGATTTGATGTGATGTGATGTTGAAAACATCACAGTTGATGAATAGCGCAAAAACAAAAGTGAAAACAATAGTTTGCGATCTTTTAGTGTTTAGGAAACTTTGTAGTTTTTGTTGTTAGTTATTGGAAATTGGGAAAGCTTTATTATAGTATTTGTTTTTATTATTTTTTAAATATTTTGTGAGAAAAAATAATATATTTTTATCGAGAAGGGTGCGTAATATTTGTGAAAGTGAACATGAAGGAAAACATGCTGTTAGACAGTTCAAATCCCTAAGTGAACATGAATGATTCTTTCACATTGTTAGATTAAGATTTATGACTTTTGTAACTTCATGAGTTTAATGAACACACTCTGCTGTGGCTCCATTCTCAGAAAATCTTTTACATAAACATTGCAGTTAAAGCTCCAAAGGTTGCTTTATTGTTGTGAAATGAAGAGACGCTATTCATTAGTGCAACAAAAGATAGGACTGTCGTTGATGTGGTCTTGGCAGTGAAAACCGACAGTGGTTTTAAACTTCAGAAGATTACCTATATGCTTTTTGAATTGATGTTTTAAACTTTTGTGAATATCTATCTGTGACTGTTAAAACCTACTTTGTTGATGTTTGAATTCAAATAGACAATATAGAATTTTTTTTGTAGTACGATTCACTAAATAACAAAATAATTATATCTTGCGATTTTCTTATTCATTTTGTTAATCTGATGATGACAACATATGCCAATAACATTATGACGGAGAATTGTTTGGAATGTTATGTCCTGAAGTTAGGGCCAGACCCAAGTTTTAGTGATTATATTTATTGAAGTCAGAATTGCATTTTTCTGATATATATATATATATATATATACTATTTCTTTTTTAAGTGCCCCTATAGTAAGAAGTATTGAAAATGTTTCATGGGAGAGGAAGCGAGTTCGTGAATTATCAATATTATATAATCTTGTTTTCACTTGACCCTCCATCTTTATTTTTGGTTTGTGGAAAATGAGCTTTAAACATATGAATTGAACTCATTTATATCTCGGTTTACTTTCCCACCACCATATTGAATGATTTGTTTTTGTCTATATTATGTTGATTTAAAGCCATGAATGAGTGTTTTTTAATAAAGCTAGTATTTTAGCATTGGTTTGTAGGCCAGCACAATTGCCGCCGCCCACTCGCCAAATATATTGATGCGGTTTACAAGAAAATCGCTAGGAAATCCATATAAATATATTGCAATTTATATCCTTTAATGGGGACAGGATGGAACGTAAAAATAAGCATGATAATAATGTGCGACTATTATCTCTTTGATGGAACATAATCACTATAACTTCCCCAACATATTTTCTCTTTCCTTTTTTATGTTATAATTCAATGGCATGTTGGTTCGAGGCATGTATATTGAAGCCAGACTGGTGAAATTGACAGTTCTTTTATTTTGATGCAGGCTAACCCGCCCGACCCAAAGACATTTCCATTTGTATTACTAGGCAACAAGATTGATATAGATGGTGGCAATAGCCGCGTGGTAAGTTGAGTTGTGTTGCAAAAGTTTGTAGAATATTTAATATTCACATTCGTCACTGATTGAACTCATTCAGGTTTCTGAGAAGAAAGCAAAAGAATGGTGTGCGTCAAAAGGTAACATACCGTACTTTGAGACTTCAGCAAAAGAGGATTACAATGTTGATCCTGCGTTCGTATGTGTTGCCAAGGCTGCTTTAGCCAATGAGCACGACCAGGACATGTGAGTTCGATTTACAAATCCTGTAGCATCGCAGTATTTTGTTTGTGGAAATAGATAATCAAAACACACACTCGTAATCCTTTGCTTGCTCGGTAATCATATGATCATGCATCACACAGGAGGCCTTTTGTTTTAAGGATCAAATTGAAATTGAAATAATTTTCATTACTATCATGTGGTTTGATACTGTTGGAGTCAAATTGTGGAAATATTCTTGGATTTTAGGGAATTCCTTCAAACCCTTACCTAAGTAGATTTTGGATCAAGGAATCATTTCGACTTGAATTTCAATTTAAAAAATTCTTGCATGCAAACTAAATAATGAAGGGTTTGTTTGTTTACTTTTTGTTGTTAGATGTGGGGAATTGCCATGTTGTTATAGGGAATTGTGTTTTGTGTATTTGAATTGTTGACTTTTATTGAATTATATGTATTTTTTGGGAACGCTGCCGTTTGTTTTTGGCATGAAGAACACAACCTTTGTGCGTGTACATAAAGCTTTAGTTATACAAAACCCAAATTGCTCGCCCCCTAAAATGACCTAAATAGCTTCTTTCGGTTTCTTTGTAACATAAGTACTGTCTTAATTTGATCTTCTCATTCGAGTATGTGATAATCCCATGTCATTCTCTGTATCCACTTTGAACCTGCTGGAATAATTCGATTTCTTGAACTGAATAGTGTTTGATAAGTGCCAAGTCGGTTTCCTTCTATATATTATACGTTGTCTACATTTTCTTATTTGTCTGAATTCTTTTCTCACAGTCAAGATGCAATAATAGTCATAATGAAAATAATTTGCATTCAACACCCTTTTTTCGCTCATTTGGCTTTTTCTTTTTTTTGGAGCTACTGTGACTTGATGCTAATTACATGTTCTGAGTTTCCAACTACAGTCTATTTTGTTTCCTGAAAGCTTTAGAGATTTCAAAAGATTTGGTCTATGAATATTGTAGATTTTCATGTTCAACACATTCTGCTAATGAATATTCTTAACATGATCTATGATCATCTTCTTGAAACAATTTACCATGTTTTTTTCTACCGGGATGGATCTGCAGATACTTCCAGGGCATGCCAGAGGCTGTATCAGAAACAGAACAACAAGGAGGCTGCGCATGCTGATTTGAACTTGTATGGCCGTTGCTGTTTGCTTTCGTTTTGGGTATTCATTCCTTTTAAGCTGTTGCGGTTAGCCAGCCATTCTTTTTGTATTCTCCTGTATACTAAGTTATTGAGATTCAGTCGGGATTTCATTGCATTCGGTGTTTGTGAATGGTTACGGCAATGGTAGTTTGATCTCTATATCGTTGTAATTGTTGAGATTTGGTGGAAGCTATTGTTTTCTTTGTTACAGTGCTCAAAATGCATAATCTGCAGATGAACTGACTGAGTGGTGTAAGGAATGAAACACGGCCGTGTTTGTTTGTCGGCTCCCGTGTTCTGCACTTGCATTTCTTAAGTTTCTCATCATTCTTGAATGTAGTTTGGTTAAATTTGAAGGGATGTTTGATGTTGAATATTCATTTATTCGATTCATATTTGTGTGCTAAACATCATTATGTAAATTTTAAAAAAATAAAATAAAAAATAATAATAATCTAATACTTCTTAAGTTCTATTTTTATTTTTCTATAAGTTCTATTTTTATTTTTCTATTTACGATGTTTCAATCTCTATTCCGTTACTTCTCTTTTTAAATGCAGATTTTATTTTTTTAATTTTCATTCATTTGACATTTTTAATCTCTATTTTGCTATAAATGGTAAATCTATCAATTTATAACAAATATATATATAAAATCATGCAAATGTATTTTAGAGCAATACAAAGTATATATTAAAAATATCCAAAATTGTGTTATTTATTTATAGAATATTCATTGTTTATTTTATTTGTTTATTATTTTTATTTTCGTCAATCCATTTATTCGTGGTTTTACATTTAGAAAAATGACTAATTCTATAAAATAATGAAAAATTTTAAAAATAGATGAAAAAAAATTTTATTTATTAAGAATCAGGATAAAAAATTAAAAAAAAAAATTAAATAGTCCACGCACCCAAAATGTTAAGAATTTAATTCAATTAATTTATATTTATTAAATATATTTAAAATTAATAAATTTATTAAAAATAAAAACATAAGGAATAAGGAAGGAGTATATACATTCTTAAACAACATTCCTAATTGAATTACTGTTAAAAAATAAAATCCCAACTAAACATATTATTTCTATTTCTATATTTGTACAATTCACCCTTTAAGCAATCATTTTCGTAATTTACATATAAAAGCCCACCCATAATCTGGCCCACAAAGGGAAGCCCAAAAGATTTAAACGACACCGTATTATCAAATTCCAATTGTGCCCTTCTCCCTGGTAACCTCAAAAGCATAGGTCAGCCGGGAAAACCAGAGCTCGAGCACAGCCTTCTCCGCAATCGACAGCACTTTCCAATACGAAAATGGCGTTCGCTCCCCGAATTCTTGCCAGATCCGCTCGTCAGGTCTTTCTTCTGATCTATCGATCGCTTCCAATTTGAAGTCATTTAATTGCGTTGATTTGGTGGCAATATTCTAGGGCTTTTTTTTGGTTGTTTTTCATTTTTGATGAGGTCATTTGTGCCGCGATTGTATCTGCTCGATTTCATTTTAATTGAAGTTTTGTTGATATTCTCGGATTTTTTGTAGGTGTATTCTGGTCAAAGCGTTCTTCGATCGGAGTATTCAATTCCGGCGCGATCCTTCGCCAAAGGAGCTGGAAATGAGCCCACTGGGTTAAAGGGTGATGGTGAGCTTCTAAATCTGTTACAAAGCTTCTTATATTGTTGTATTACGGTTCAATGTTTTATTTTATTTTTTTTTCTATGTCGATTACAATCGTTGTACCGTCTGAATATGAAGGATTTGTTTGAGGAAATTCCCTGGGGCTAAAGTACATTGAAGATATCTGTATTTCTATTATTCTGTTTAAACAATGTACTAAAGGGAAATGTTAATATTTTGTGAACATAGAGATGCATGTAGAGATTGAATTTTAAAGAGCTAAGGATTAAGTGATACATTGAGTTTTCAATGGTTTACATTTGAACATGAGAGTGTTTTTGGTGGTTGTATATTTTGGGATGTTTTGGATTTGAATTTATATATATATATATAAAATAGGTGATGGATTTGATATTTTAAATGAAAAATAAATATTAGATGTGGTGTTTTGATTGGAAAATAGGTTTGAATGCAATTCCTTTTAGATTTATATATGTGTATTATGTATATTTAATAGTATTATGAATAATCCTCAAATGAATTTGAAAATACAAACAAACACTTTTATGGAGTACTATATATTTGGTCAATGAGTATGTTGGAATTGGAAGGGATAGAAATGTTAAAAAGACATAAATTTGAGTCTTGGAGTTTGATCAGTTCTATGACTTGAGCTGATAGAATGGCTGGTGAAATGATGCTTGCTAAGAGTCTGATGTGGGATCATAGGAAATAAGGTGAAAGAGTGATTTTGCTTAATTGGCAATGGTAATCGTACGCTACTTGCAAGAGAGTGCATTATCTTGAACCAATTGTTGATGCAGATGGAGACTTTTATCATCATCTAAATCTTTTCTCTACTCTATGGATGACTTCAAACTAACATGGTGTTTATCACTTATTAGATGTTATAATATCCATTGACGAAACCTTAGTATATGACCAATTTATGATCTGTTGGTATATTATCTATTTCCTACTTTAATTAGATCACTTTCCAATTGTTATGGTGTTGAATGTATAGTCAATAGGGGTAGATAATATATGAGTTTGTATGTTGTATTTTCAACTAATCTTTCATTATATATCTACTGTAATTTTCTTCCTTCAAAAAATATTACATTGTTTATCTATTTCACATTTGGTATATTACATACAAAGTTTATTTTCCACTCAACATTACATCAAATGTTATTTAGTCACATTAATCAAATTTCAATTCAAAAATTTATTATTCCCAAAACAAAACCTAACCAATCCTTGTACTTTTTTGGAAAAGGAAAAAAAAGTTCACCTCTCTTGAAACATCTCTTGTGCTCCGACGAAATATGTAATATCATTCATTCGCAGAAATGATGAATGCCTGCACTTAATATATATATATATATATATATAAAGGAAAATGCAAACACAAATAATGGTTTGAGATGTTCCAAGTAGATATACTTATGCTAAAAAATTGAGGCATTATTGCTCCACTGAATATAAGTGCGGTTACTGTTATTGCTTATAATTTGTTTTGTGCTAGTTCTGTTGTCATTCCTACCCATTTGTAGGGTGACTTAGTTTTGTGGCATTGATGATGAATAGCAATATGTTTCAAGCTTTATGTGAACACAATTGAAGTGTGGGCAATATGCTAAGCTTTTTCCAATTAACATGATGCATCATTGACATTAATATAATAAGCTTCTGACTATTGTCTTTTATTCTGAAGAATTGTTGAAGGGTATATTTCTCGAGGTTAAGAAGAAGTTTGAAACAGCAGTGGGGATTCTCCGAAAGGAGAAGATCACCATTGACCCTGACGATCCGGCTGCTGTGAATGAGTATGCAAGAATCATGAAGACTGTTAGAGAAAAGTAAGATACAATATTCTGAAAGGAAATCTTGTCACTGTGACACTTTTTAATATTCAGCATCATGCTCACGCTTATTTCATTGCCAGTAATATTTTTTATATTTTTGAATTAAATGAAACAATGCCCTTTGTTTTTGTTTCCTTTTGGCAACATATCATTGGATCTGTTAAAACCATACAAGTCTTATTTAGCATCCATTACAACTGTATCTGTGATAAAAAATATATATATTATGATGCTTGCGCCAACCATTGGAAAATTTGATTGGTTTCACTTCTTAATTTTTTATTATATTATTATTATTATTATTATTATTATTATTATTATTATTATTATCATTATTTTGTGTTACTGTTCTATACAGTTTCCTTGTGTATTTGGTGTTTGTTACCCTTCTACTTACTGTTTTCATGTAATGTTTTCTGTGCATTAATTGGTCCTCTCGATTAGTATTTTCCGCTTCTTTTGTTTATTAAATAAATGCCTCAGACCTCTTCTATATATAATTGCTTGTAATTGTTGACCTAATTTGTTGTTGATTTCTGTGCTGTGAACTATGATTGCAGGGCTGGTCTTTTCTCTGAGTCACAGAGGATCAAATACACTATTGTCACAAAGACCGACAATATCCCTGATGTTCGATCCTACCTGTTAGCATTGCAGGACATAAGGGAGAAGTATGTTCTACACTTGGTCAATGCATGTGTGTGTATTATATAGATATATATATATATATATACATATTTCAGGAATGGTTTTTGTTTGGTTTTTAGTGTGTAGTTAAATATTTTCTCAATACCTTCGTGTTTTTTTTTTTTTTTTTTTTTTTATAATATATGGCAGGAGGGGCCTTGTTGATGAACTAGGTGTGGAGTCTATGATGATGGATGCAGTGGACAGAGTCGAGAAAGAATTGAAGCAGCCTCTTATGAGAAACGACGAAAAGGGGGTCAGTCTCCTCAAGGCAGAGTTTGATAAGATCAACCAAAAGTAAGCACCCGGAAGTAAAAAATAACATTTTATAGAATGCACAAGTGCGTTTGTTTAGTGTTTTTAGTTTTAAGATATTTTTCATGTTAAGTAAGAAGAAGCCTTTGACTTCTATCAGTTTATAAAGTATATATACTATATATCTCGCGTGAATGTGTATATATTGTACTTTTTAGTGATATTAATCAAAAAGCATGAATGTTTTATTTTTTTTGGGTGAAACACCCCCGATTCTATTGTTTCTTAACTTGTGATCATGTATAGGCTTGGCATCCGTCGAGAGGATCTCCCCAAGTATGAGGAACAGTTGGAACATAAAATTGCAAAAGCTCAACTGGAGGAGCTGAAGAAGGATGCTCTTGAGGCCATGGAAACTCAGAAGAAGCGGTACTGCTCTTTTTTCATTGCCAAATTTTTTAAACTTTTGGTACTATTTGTCGCGTTAATTTTTTCAAGAAAAAAAAAACACATTTCTAAAATTTCAAAACCCTCAATATTTTTTACAATATTACGTTAGGCTCTTATCTTCTCTTTGTGTCCTGCGAAACCTTTGCAGGGAAGAGTTCCAGGATGAAGAAATGCCTGAAGTGAAGTCATTAGACATTCGGAACTTCCTCTAAATCCGTAATGTCCAATCTATCTCATTTTCTACTTCCATTCCGGCTTTTTTTAGTTCCATTGTCACATCGTCGCGCCTCTGCTGATTCTGAATCTCCTACATTTGTTTGCGTGGAGCGACGAAAAAATAAGAAATCATATCGTTTTTAGTTAATAAGAATGATCATCATAGGTAGCTAGCGCGCCGCCGTAATTTTGCCGCTGGCATAATACTTTTGAAAAACCTGAGCATTCGATGTTGTTTGGATGAATTTGTGTTGAATGAGTTATATGCTACTGTGTATTTTGTACGTCTCAAGTTCAGCTTGCCTTTTATTTCTGTCTGAATATATCATTTTTGTTTTGATCCACATATTGCCCATAGTTTTATGTACTCGATAGTTTTAAATGACTTGTGCACCGTTGGATATGATTTTTTTTCTTTTTATTTTTTTGGTATCTTGAGTTATGAAAATCTCATAAAATAGTGAAAGGTTTAGATAATTTGCACTCTGCATAAGCTAACACATTTTTATTCAGTTGATACTATTCACTTTTTTAAAAACATTACATCAAATATATATATATATTTTTTTTATAAAATATCAAATCAAATATTAATTTTTTATTTTATTTTATTTTATTTTTTAAACTTTCAAATTTAGAAAAACCTCGGGAAAACTCCTGTCTAAATAGTAGAAACGGATACATTATTATTTTTTATTTTTTATTTTTATTTTGGTTTCAACTAAAAGTAAGATTTTATTATTATTTCTATTTTATTTAAAAGTATCTATTTTTTATTATAATAAAAATAAGTATATTAAGTGTGATATTTTCACTATAATAGAGTAGAAAATAGAAAATAGATATTTTTGGATAAAAATTGTAAAAAAGAAAATAAATAATCAAGTATTACTATTTTTTAATTTATCACAATAATTCAAATAAATACACAAACTCAAATGAACATTTTTGTCCGGGAGATTGACTAATGGTGTGGAGATATCCAAATAAAAAAAGAAAAAATTAAACAGTGGGGCCGAGGGAATAATAAAATCAGTAATTTTATTTACTTATTGGGTAATTTTGGTGTTGTCATGGCAAGTAAATTAATTTTAAAAATATAAAATAAAACATTTAGGGTGTGTTTGTTTGGGGGTTTGGATTTGGAATTGGGATTTGAATAGTAAAAATGTTGAATTTGAATAGTTGCATGATGTCATATAAATAGGCGTTGTGATGTTTTGAATGTAAAATTAATTTTTAGTATAATATAAAAAAATAAAAAAATATGTATTTTATTTGATGTTTTTGGGGGAAAGAAATTGGATGAATAGTTTAAATCCAATCCAATCCCCAAACAAACACACCCAAAGGATTTGTTCCAAATCTTATTATTCATTCAAAATTTTCTTTTCAAACATATCAAAGAAAATATCTATTTTTTATTTTTTATATTATATAAAAAAATAATTTTACATTTAAATATCCTAAAAAGAAATAAAAATGTTCTGCTTCAGTCATCATTTGATCGAAAAGTGATAAAAATAAAAAAAATATATATATATGGCAAAAAAAATAAAAAAGATTTTTTTTTTTTTTTTTTGGACTGAAAATGAAAACAAAAAATGATAGGAATAATAAGTTTGGATGACATATGAATGGAGTAATATTTTTTTAAATGTTAATAGATTAAATAAATAAAAAATCCGTGTCAGTCAACTGTCGGTCAAATAAATATAATTTTAAACGAAAATAATAATAGTAATATATTTAAATAAACATTGGTAGTATTTATTTTCAATTAAAAAATAGGGCTAGTATAAATTTTCTTTATAAGGTCAAGTAGCCAATAAGCAGCAGCCTTGTTCCTCCTCCTCCACCCATTGTTCATTGTTCAAAGTCGTGTTGTGTGTTGCACTATTGACTCTGTTCTGCGTACAATGAACTTCGACGACCACATACTAGAAGTCCTCTGGTCGGAGGACCAGATTTCCCGGCGAGTCTCCGACCTTGGCTCCCAAATCTGCGCCGACTTCCAGTCCCGCAATGAAGTTCCTGTCCTCGTCGGCGTTGCTAACGGAGCGTTCGTTTTCCTGGCCGATCTCGTCAGGAAGATCCGTTTGCCCCTCACTCTCGACTTCGTTCGCGTCGTATCCTATGGCATCGGCACCGTTACCAGTGGCATCCCGAAGATCATCGTCGACCTCAAACTCAACGTCCTCGGGAGACACGTCGTTCTGGTATGTCGTTTGGAATTGTGTTGATGATTTTGGTGAAATGCAGTCAATTGAGATTGATGATCGAGTTCCTATTTGCGTTGAACGTGTTTTCGTTGCACTGCTTTCAAACGTTGATTGAGGAATTTCCAACTGCTTATTAGAAACTACATTTCTGCGTGGAGATAGGAAACCCTAACTTTTGTAGCGCCAAATTGAAATCTGAATCTGGATCGAATATTTGTCGGATATTGATCATTTTTCATGTACGAGATGTGGAAAAATCGAATGAAATAGTTACAAACTTTTAATGAATGAAGAATCAAATCAGAAGAAATGATAATCTGTAACTGAGAGATCATCCTGATTCCTGTCTTTCCAAACTGAATTCTTCAAAGTTGCACTGGTACAGTGGAGATATAGTTATGCTGCTCCCGAGCAATCCTATTCACATTTCTGCCGTTCCAATTTGTCGTATAGGTTGAGGACATTGTAGATACTGGAAACACTCTATCAATATTAATCCAATACTTGAAATCTAAAGGTGCATCTTCCATATCTGTGTGCACTCTGCTCGATAAACCTTCAAGGCGAAGGGTTCATTTCGAACCAGAGGGTGAAGGGAAGTATTACTGTGGCTTTGAGGTACTCTCTTCCTCTTGCTATGGGTTTTAACGTTCTACGGTTATTCAACGAGCTTTTTCGAACTAATTACTGATTCTTGTTATATATGCATGAAGCGGGCGATTTCAGATTTTGTTCTTATTGGAAGTTTTTGTCTGTTATCTCTTAATGATTGGAAAAGTACACTTCGACTGGCACGATCACGCAATTTATGTTAAGATATCATCCTTGTATTCATTTTAGTGTTAATTACTGCCTTGTTGTTACTTGTTAGAATAATTTATATTCGACTTAGATAAAGATCAAACTTGGAAGTCTTTCAGATTATAAATCTGATGCCATTTGTTTTTTTGTGGCAATTTCATTAACAGCTTATTTACGGTAAAGGTACACTTTTTATTCGTATGATCATTTTCTGTCTTTATTTAGTCCCACAATGGTAAGTTTGTTCAAATGATGGGTAATGGTTTTTATCACATGAATTTGTTTGGTGGGATTAGATTCATTGAAATGAACGTATTCAAATCACGGGACTAAAGTGATTCTAAATCAGCATATTAAAATCGCGGTACTAAATAGGGACTCACACTTTTTCTCGAGTAAAATCATGTTTACATTCATAATTGGCAGTGTAAGCCATCTTTTATATCATAATACAAATCTTCAATATCTCAGTACAGTGTAGTCTTGAAGGTTTTTAAAGTTTCATACATATTACTTTTGGATCGAAACTTTTATGTGCCGCCTGTTGGATCATGTCCGGAGATGGCCAAATTATGTTTGGAATTTGAGATGAACTGATAATATCTACAATGGCAGTGCCCGGATCAATTTGTGGTGGGATATGGGCTCGACTATGCAGAGCTCTACCGGAACTTGCCATATATCGGCGTCTTGAAGCCTGAAATATACAAATGATTTCTTCTCCATGGCTTGATTCACTGCTGCTCCTTAGTTAAAGCTGTAAGTTTTCCTGTTTTTTAGTTGCTGATAGGTAATATTCCCTCTCAAATACTTAAATGCATCAAAGTTATGTTTGGCTTTTGAATAATTTTGTGGGGATTACATTACATTTCCATTCTGTTGCTTAGTTGTTCCTATGTTCGAATATCATAAATAAATAATGGCGCGATCTTTTAGTGTTCAGATTTTTTTCGGTTTTTCTTTTTATTTTTACCCACACAAGCACGCACACGACCCACCCGCGGGGATTTTCCCTAACCCAAATACCCATATACCCACCCAGGATCGAATCCAAAATCTAACCTAAAGCGATTTGAATATTGGACGAGGGATGAAAACTATTTATTTGTCACGTAAAACAGAGAATTCAATTAAAAATACTAAAAAGAATAAACTAATAATACAACAATATGGATTGGATAGATATAAAGGAGACTATATATGCTGGTGAAAAATGAAATCATGACAAAATGATTTAATAGAGGGTGTCAGTGAACTAAAAATCAATGAAAAATATTTTCATATTTAGGTGGTGATTATTTATATTTTTATTAATAATTTCGATATGATTTTCATGTAATCAAAATAATATGTTTGTAAAGAAAATTGTAAAGTTGAATAATAAAAATAAATAAACATACAATCATGTTCTCAAATATTATTATCTTTCTATTCCGCATAACACTAAAGAGAAATGAAAATAAAAAAAAATAAAAAAAAAAAATTACTTTTTAATTTTAAATTTTCTTACTTTCTTGGGGTTCTAGATTTTGAATTGGAATTTTGAATTGGGATTTGAATAGTAAAATTTTTGAATTTGAATAGTTGTATGATGTAATATAAATCGGTGATGTTTTGAATGTAATATTGATTTTTAGTATTAAATAAAAAATAAATGTTTGATTTGTTGTCTTTTAAGAGAGAAAATATGACTTGAATAATATATTTAAAGTCAATTTCCAAACAAACACACCCTAAATAGACCATTGGTGTTTCTGAAAACGTAAACAATCACTGGTATTATTTTTCAATTGTAATTTTTTATAAATAATAATAAACAATACAATTTATTTTTTTACAAAAAAATAAAAAGTAAAAAAAAAAGAAAAAAGAAAAAAAGAGAGTTAAATATTCAAAAAAATCACAATTCATCCCACAACACATCAAAAATCAATCTGAGCCAATGAGTTGGTTTGTTTTTTAATTTATGTATTTTTTATATCAATTATGTTGATAATATAAAAAATTATATTTTATATTGAATTGTTATTTTTTAAAAAATAAATATTATTATTATATTAATATATATGTATTATATTTTTTAAAATAATATTTATAAAATTTGTGCCGCCTAAAATACTTTGTATGAACAAACTCTATCTATTTTTATTTGTAATTGAGCTAGTATATTTGATTGTAATTTTAAATTGAAATTAATAATATTCATTACAATTTTATTTGTAATTGAGCTAGTATATTTGATTATAATTTTAAATTGAAATTAATAATATTCATTACAATTTTAATAAAAATATAATATATTTTTTATTTAAATAAAAATTTAAATTAATTTCAAATTTAAGTATCTATCAAGTGATATTATTGTAAATATATTTAATTGTAAAATATTTTTATGAATGATAAATAAAAAATAAATAAATGAATGTATCTGTACGATGGAATGAATAACATAAAATAGATTCATATTCTAAGACAAATGAAATATAATATATATATATATATATATATTAATTAATTAATTAATTAATTATATTGTGTAATGTATCCCTGACCTGATCCATTTCTCTCTTCTTCCCTAAAACCCAAAACCCCCAAATCACAGCCACTGACCATACACACCAAAGAAAGCCATTTCCATTTCCATTTCCATGGGGACAGCAGTAGCAGCCAAGGCTCTGTCCTTCTCTCTTCTCTCTCTACCCAAACGCCTCTCCTTCACCCGCCCACTCTACTACCCGCAGCCGCCGCTGCTGCTGCGTTCCCGTCACCGCGCAGGTTTCCCCAAATTCAGGCCGCTATGCACCGCCGCAGAACCGGCCGTCGATGAAATTACGGCACTGGAACCCTTGAAACATTCGATTCTACTGGAAAGGCTTCGGCAGAGGCACTTGAAAGAGTCCTCCCAAACGCCGAACACCACATCCCCATTCAGCCTTCCGAAGAAGGCCAAGTATGGCGAAATCGAGGGTTCGAGGAAGAAGAACAAGGCCTCTGTGTCGGCGGATAGCTTTGAGGAGTTAGGTCTGAGTGAGGAGGTGATGGAGGCCTTGAGAGAGATGGCAATTTCGTCCCCAACTGAGATTCAGTCCATTGGCATCCCCGCAGTCCTCCAAGGAAAGAGTGTGGTGTTGGGATCTCACACTGGCTCTGGCAAGACTCTGGCTTACCTATTGCCTCTTGTGCAGGTTTATTGATCTTTCTGTTCATCTTTTTCCTGGATGAATCATCGTTGTTTGTGTTTGGATAATTGAATTTGTTCATGGTGATTGTTTAATTTGGTTGATTGTTTATTGATCTTTCTGTTTATCTTTTTCCTGGATGAGTTAGTGTTGTGTGTTTAAGCAATTGAATTCCCTTTTAAGCTGGTTTTGTTCATGGTGATTGTTTAATTTGGTTGATTTAGTTGTCTTTCTGATACGTATTTCAAGATTTTGGCTTACATATTACCCCATTTTTTCTGGATGAATCACTTGTGGGATTTGATTTTAGGTTTTCCTATTCCAACCTTTTTTTCCCCGAAACACCAAATTAGTCACCTATTTTTTATTTATTATACTACACTAAAATTAAATTTTAGATTCACAACATCACATCAATACATATTTATATCGCATCAAACGACTATTTCAATTCAAAATTTTACTATTCAAAACCAAAATCTTACAAGTAAACACACATTGTTCTTTTGTTTGAATTATGTGTGGTTTGTGTTTTGATTGAAATCTCTTTAAGGTAAAGTTAAGCTTTGGATTCGATGTTTTAAATAAAAAACTAGGTGTTGAGTGTCATTTTATGAGTGAAAAATAAGCATTTGACGGTACTGATAAGATCGTTGATATTTTTAGAAGACAATTATTTTACTTTTATAGAATTAATTGTGCAATATATATGTTGAAAATTGTTTGATTGTGGTTTGAAATTGATTTGAAATGGAATTTTGATTTGAATTTTTGTTTAAATAGTATTTTAATGTGATATTTTATTGGAAACTGTACATGTAAATAGTGTTGATTTCAGTTTGAAATCACAAAAGAACGGGCCAATTTACCTGTTGAATGTTGTCTTTTGAATGAAAAATAACCATTCGATATAACTAATGAGATGTTTAAGTGGCAAATAGGTCTTGATGTTGTAGGAGAAATTATTTTTTTTTAGTGTATTTCTTGCTTTGGATTTTAAATCTTCTTCTAAATTTAAAATTAGGTATTGTATTCAATGTTTTTGAATAAATATTTTAGATTTTATTATTTTTCCGTTGTTATGGAAATAGCCATTCGTCATCTTTTGAATGGAAAATAAGCATTGGATGTTAGAGATACGAGGAAGATAGCCGTTGATATTTGTAGCTGAAAATAAATTTACTCTTGTAGAATTAGTAGTGTGCAAAAACAAGATTGAAGACATAAACGAGCACATGTTTGAAATTAGCTTTGTTCATGATGTTAAGTTGGTTGATTTAGTTTATATTCTCGAATGATTATTTGTTCTCTGTGGATCTTCCCTTTCAATATTATTACCGTTGTTGGTGAAACTGTTATTTATGCAATGTTCTATCATTTTCCGGAATAGTGATTTGATATTTTTTGGTTTAGCTGCTGCGAAGGGATGAGGAGCTCCATGGTATGCTGATGAAACCGAGACGGCCTCGAGCTGTTGTATTATGCCCGACTCGGGAGCTTTGTGAGCAGGTTATTCTCTTTACAATCTCTTTAACGACGTAATCGAACATCTCGTCATTTTGGCTGAAACAGATGCATATGTCTTCAGGTGTTCCGTGTCGCCAAGTCGATCAGCCACCATGCACGGTTCAGATCGACCATGGTTAGCGGCGGCGGTCGGTTAAGACCCCAAGAAGATTCCTTGAACACCCCGATCGACATGGTTGTGGGGACTCCGGGTCGAGTTCTGCAACATATAGAAGAAGGGAACTTTGTTTACGGTGACATTCGATACTTGGTAATCAGTCTCAATTTCCCGTCTTTTTTGGTTTTTCTTGAAAAATATTGAAGTTTGGAGATTACTATGTTACAAAAAATGATGATCGATCTTTTCATAGGTCTTGGATGAGGCGGACACCATGTTCGATCACGGATTCGGCCCCGACATCCGTAAGTTTCTTGGACCGTTGAAAAACCGTGCATCTAAATCCGATGGTCTTGGATTTCAGACGGTATTAGTCACTGCAACAATGACAAAGGTATGCATGAAACATGCGCACGATTATACGATGAATGATTGACGATGTTTTTAAAAGTAATGTCATTTCATTACTTGAACTTCTGTCTCGTTGCTGTCTGAGAATTAAAAAGTTGCGACGCATTTTCTGCAGGCAGTGCAGAAGCTGGTCGACGAGGAATTTCAAGGTATTGCACATTTGCGTACTTCTACACTCCATAAGAAGATCGCATCGGCTCGTCACGATTTTATCAAACTTGCGGGTTCGGAAAATAAGCTGGAGGCCTTATTGCAGGTCTACTATTTTCCTCTCTTGCTCGAAAATCACTTTCGATAAAAATTGATTCGATTTTGTAATTACAGGTTCTCGAGCCGAGCCTGGCTAAGGGAAACCGAATAATGGTATTCTGCAACACGCTGAACTCCAGTCGAGCTGTCGATCACTTTCTCAACGAAAACCAAATCTCTACTGTGAATTACCACGGCGAAGTGCCGGCAGAACAAAGGTGTGCGTGATTCATATCTTTCGATCCCCTTCTTCTTACATTTTTCGAATATCGACTCAGATCTACTTACATTTTGTGGTTGATACAGAGTCGAGAACCTGGAAAGATTCAAGAGCGACGACGGAGATTGCCCGACGTTAGTTTGCACTGATTTGGCTGCAAGAGGGTTGGATTTGGACGTCGACCATGTCATCATGTTTGATTTTCCCTCGAATTCGGTAAGCTCGCTTATCACTTTCGTTCTTGTCCTTTCTCGTGCTCGTTTAACTGCGTCGAATGTGCGACTCATTTTTTGTTCTCGATCTGTTTAGATTGATTACCTCCACCGAACCGGAAGGACTGCTCGAATGGGCGCAAAAGGTACTAACACGAACTACATCGAACGAATTTTGCTTTCGATTTGACATCAGCGTTCTCAGTTAATCTTGAAATAACGGCAGGGAAAGTTACGAGTTTGGTTGCTAAAAAGGACTCGATTTTGGCCACCCGTATCGAAGAGGCTTTGGCGAAGAACGAGAGCTTGGAGTCGATCTCTTTAGACAGCATCAAAAGGGATATCGCCCGATCGCATGTGAATAAGCAGAAGGAACGAAGTGATAAGATCGTAAAAGTCTCGAGTCCGAAAAACAAGTCACAAAAAACAACCGAACCCCGCGGCAAAGCGGCGATCTCAAAGAAAACTTCATCTGCCAAATCGACGAAAATGCGAGCAACTCCCGACGCTAAGAAGAAAGCGATTGGAGTTATCAAGACGACGTCAAAGTCGTCGCGCTCCGGCGCTTCAAAAAGCTCGTCGTTTGGTGGCAGAAAACAATCAGAAAGTCGAAGCTCGGGAGCTGTTAGATCGAAACTTAACGTCGTTGGATTCCGGGGCCGCAGCGCAGTAAAGTCCCGTTGATCGATCGCTCGATGATACATTATACGTACATCGTATCGATCGTGTTATTTATATTTTTTACCGTGTAAAAGCATCGACTTAGCATATTTTTGCACCGTAAATTACAAAAAATCACGAAAAAGATACATTTCCTACGGTCGTAAAGTCGAGAGCGTTAGCGATCATCACTTCCATGGAAGCGCCGGCAGGGCTGTCCGATTGCTCGACCCCGGACCAACGACGTTCCCGGCGGAATCGTAGATGATGACACCTGAAAAATCGGGGAGCTGGCACTTACCTCCCATGAGTATGTTCTTCTTCCAAACCGGGTTTCCTTCACCGCTGTAAGTGATCGGGTCGACGTCCTCTCCGAATGGGTAACCGATGATAGTGTCATCGGAATTGAGTTCGATGACGGGTTCCTGGGTCCCGTAGCCGTCGTAGCACGCTTTCCATCGACGCCAGCGGCGGGAGTGGCTGGCGCACATGAAGAGGGCGAATCCCGACAGGAGGAGGGTCCCGACGATGACGGCGGCGCTGGCGCCGGAGAAAGGAAGTGGGCGGTGGTTGAAGAAGAGGATGTCTCTTGCCATGAGGTGATGATGTTGGAGGAGAGTTGAGAGTGTGGTGTTTATAGGGATGGTTTTGTATGTGATGGATTTGTTGTTTGGTTCTTTAGTGTTTTTGGTGGGTCTTTGTGGATTCAGTTGATTTTTAGTTGGTTATGGTTGGTTACAGGTTACTTGACCTTCTTGTATAAAATTTTGGGTTAGATCTTAGTCATCAATTTAATAAAGTTATTTATAAACTCTTTCTTGGCATCCAATTTTTTATTATTATTATTATTTAAATTTATTTTTTTATTTTTTTTTTAAGTAAAAAATGCATTTTTTTAACCTTTTCTCTTAAAAAAATAAAATTTTTCATTTTTATCTATCTTTGTAAAACCTTGGTCAAATGAGACAATATTTTTTTTGGGAGATTACCTATGTGGCCAGCTAGTACAATAATCTCCAGTCTCCGTCACAGTACAATAGTGTTGTTTACCATTTTTATCTGTTTCAAAACAATAGTTTTATTTTTATAAATAATCATATTACCATAAAACTATTCATACTTTTTCAATTTTATTACATAATTGCCACTATTTTTTACACTAATAAACTCACAAGAGCAAAAAAGTTTTTTATCCGTACTTTTATCGACTATCAATATAATATAATATTTTTTAAATCTCGTACTCAAACCAATTAAGACTATAATTATAGAACGGAGGGAGTATCATATTTTTATTGAAGGAAATAATGCTCTATTCATATAGCGTTTTTTTTATGACAGTTTTTGGATGAAAGATTTTTTTGCATTGGTACGGATAATTATGTCAGAAATATAAAAATATATAAAATATATTATTTTGGATTGAATATTTGATTTTTTAATAAAATTTTAATTTTTTATAATTATTATTGACTTTTTTAACTTTTGTATAAAATATTGCATTTTTTATTATTATTTTTGGAAAATTTGAATTTAAAATGAGCGTTGGGAGAGCCGAGGGAATGTATTTTTAGAAGAAATAAGTCACTATTTAAATAAAATTTCAAAAAATATCATCCAATAAATACCCGTCTTGAATTTAATTTTTATAGTATGTGGGCTATTGCCTATTGGGCTCCTTTTTGGGCCTAAATTCTAACGGCTGAATTGGGCCGTTCATAGACTCAAGCTATAAATTCTCGCTGCCTCGCAGCGTTAGTACAATCGGCATGGAATCTTCCCGCAGAATGCTTTCCCGTACTTCGATTCCTCTCCGAAAGTTGCTTTCCGAATTCCATTTTGGAAGATCTGCGGTGACAGAATCTCCGGTGCTGTCGAGATCGTTTACGAAATTCTCAACTCGCCGTTGTTGGGTGGAAAGCAGTCGTTTCAGTCGCCCTACAATCGCAATTTCGCCGAATTATTTCGAGTTTCTACGAGATTGCAGGAGCTACAGCGTTGATGCGGATAAAGAAGTGGATAGGATTAACCTCAAGTTCGCTGAAGCTAGGGAGGAGATAGAGTCGGCTATGGAGTCCAGAGAGACCGTGTATTTCAACGAGGAAGCGGACTGTGCTCGTGCAGCTGTAGGTGAAGTGCTTGGAATGTATGAGGATTTGTTGAAGAAGCTTCCCGAGACTGACAAGGGGAAGATACAGAGGGCGATGGGGCTCAAGATCGAGCAATTGAAGGCTGAGCTTGAACAGTTGAATGAGTAGTGAGGTTAAGGAAAATTAAACAGCTGATTTTATTTTGTATTAGTTGAATTTGGGCTTTCAGGAAGCCTTATTCTCTTTTGGTTTGTCGATTACAAAGTATTGAAGATCTCTGAGGGTGATATCGGAGCTCAAATTAATTGAATAATGGAAACGTTAATTTGACATTATGCACTTGAGATGGTTCCATTTTGTTGCTGGAATTTACACATTTCAATATCTTTACTGTCCAATCGTCCATTGACGTAGGTGATGCTATAGAAATAGGGGTTTTGATGAAAACTTCAGCTATATCATCATTATATGCACAAATTTGTAGTGTAAGGAACGCCACTTTAATCCAATTTGCAGGACTTGCATTTTCTGGATAGTTTGGATTATCATGGTGCATATTATTCATAGACTTTAGGTTTGGCGATCTTTCATGCCACATGGTAATCTACTCAATTTGATTTTCAGTTCATAACTTAATATACTATGGATATGATATTTGGAAGCTGCTCTTTACGATCATTCGTTCATGCTGATTCTAATATGGTTTTACGGAAATGAAAATCTTGATGGCATCCTCTTCTGTGCATCTATGTTCTTAATTTTTGGCTGTTTGAAGAAGATACAAACAAGAAACAACGAGAAGTTCTCTGTTCTTTGTATGTGCTGAATTTAAATGCAAGAATAGAAGTTTCTGTATTTTATGTTAAACTTGGGCGCAGCATATCATTTATCATTGATTTCACCGAAGCCCTCAGTATGAGCCATCTAGAGTTTCTGATATTTTCTCTGTTTTATTTGGTGTTACTTTCAGGATGTTTAGTAGTTGGTGTTCTAAATCTGTTGTCTTAGGATGTTTAAGGATGTATTGGAATGTGTTTAGTGTTTCTTTTTATTCGAAGTTATTATTGCTACGATGAGTTTATATTAAGTTATGTTATTGGATTCCAAACTGTAGACTATTATCTAGTTCTAATGCTTCGGTGATTATATATCTCGAGAAGAAATAATTTTGGAAGGATATAGATCACATTGATGTAGCTTGTCTTCGTAAAGGTAGCAAAGGATAATTCTGAGATTTTCCCTTTGATTCATTGGAGAATTAATACTCCAAAATTATGATATCGAATTAGGATTCGAAGGATGTATGCCATCTCAGCATTTGGGGTTTAGGGTAGTAAAGGAGTACATGTAAATAAGATTGCTGTGATAAGTTGATGATTAACCTTCTGTTAAGAAGGAATCTTCAAGCTTTTCAGAAATGGAACCAACTCGGAATTAATTTATTTGGCTCTGCATTGTTAATATAGTTTTTGATGAGAGTATAAGTGCAATGAAAACTGCAAATGCATGCTATTAACTCATCTGTGGTTTGCCTGAAGGCTTTTTAATGTGGTTGGGGGATTCAGACGAAACTTTAAACAAAGTTGTAAGTTTCTTTCTGATTGTCTGGTTTTCTGCTTGAAGTAATTTTGTTTTTGGGTTTTCCTATTAGCTCCAATGCAGGTTTGGCACGAGCAATTTAAAGCTTTTTCCGACTACAATAAAGGGGTTGGAAAGATTGATGAGAAATCGGGAGGAAGTGGTTGCCTTGAAATTTGAATGGTGGAAACATACGATACAGACAGAATCCAAGTTTATGTTCAAGTATCCGTAAGTTCTTCGACTAATCCCTCAAATATAACTTCCTATTTTCTACTGAAAGGCATTGCTGGACAATAGTGAAACCTAGAAATTATAGTTTGTTAGCTTATATTGAAAACCACTGTATCAATCACCTTTGATTAAGAATCTAGTGTAGGACAACCTTCATTTATCCATGTTTAAATTCATTTTAAGTGTTAGGATAGGAATCCCATGGTGGATGGTAATTTATTTAGTTACTGGATAGAATATAGTGTAGAACACATATAGGGCTTTTAACCTAAAAACAAGCCTTGGAAAAGGTGTCATTTTTTGGGAAAGAAAATTTTGATACAACCAAGAATGTTGACAAACCCAAGCGATGAACTCTTGTCCAAAAAAACTACTATTATGTTCCAAAAATAAATTTATAGGTATCCGTTTTCTATGTGCTTTAATTTCATTGGCTTTATCACAGCAGTGTACTTCTTACTTTAATTGAAATGCAGTGAATGCAAGGCAAGTAGATGACAAATAGGACATGAAATTTATGACAACATTAGATTTCCTTTGTGATAGGATATGAAACATTTGTTATCACAAGAATGACATACTAACAAACGAGTACTGTTTAATAAATGCCAGGAAGAGCACTGGAAATAGCTGATTGTCACTTAATATATGTTTGATATCAGAAAATTTCATTTGATGTATTCTTGATCCTTGCTAGAATATCGATGTTTCCCAGTTGCATGATTTAGATGTATTGAAATGTTTTTAATATATTTTAGATATTTTGTTTATGGTTTGGATTAAATTTGTATTATTTTAGATTAAATCGTTATTATTTGAGTAACAAGACTGATTTTATTATTAATAACATACTATTCTAAAATTATAAAAAATGTAGCATGATATCAACATTACTTCCTATCCTCAACTATGTCTATAGTTGCCCGCCTTCGACCGCTTGAGAGTCTAACAACCTTGAGAATTCTATTTCTAATTCTAACGACATTGAAAGTTCAGCTTGTTTTGAGAGCTTTGTTTCTGAATCTAATGTCGTTGAATGGACTCTTAACATCGTTAACAGTTCTGTTTCCTACTCTAATTTTGTTGAAATCCTGTTTTTCACTCTGATTTAGTGAACAATTCTGACTATGCTATTTCCGTTCTCTCTTGGCAAACTCAAGTCATTTACGTGGTATTTGAATATTAAAATATTTGGTTTATGATTTAATTAGATTTCTATATTATATTGTAATTATTTGAGTGTTGTATTTATAAGTTGACCTCCATTTTTATTATTAATGATATACTGAAATTCTACCAAATGTAACTAAGAAGTTTGGTTTCAAGATGTTGATTCCCATTCCCCAATCTAGAATATGTTTAGAGTTCATGTAATCTTTGAGGTTCTAATGTAATAAACAAGACAAACCACCATGGAAAAAGTTCAACCCCGTTGTTCTGTCTGTGCATATGAAATAAAAATGCAAGACAAGAGAATTAGCCTTATTTCATTGAAGGAATTTGCTTCCAGCATCTCTAGTTATTCCAAAAACTTAGAAATCAGTAAGGCAAAACACAGAAATTAGGGTTGCAGAACTTTTATGGTTAAGTTGATGATCAGAAAATACCAAATGATCACCTGCCCAAACCATTTAGGAATTGTTGAAAACACTGATGTAGCTTAACTGTACAAAGAAACTCGAAGCGTTGTCAATGGAACAGAGGGTATCTCCTGTTCCCGACATAATTCCCCATTGTTTAATCCCGAATTAAAAAAGCAAGAAATTTAACTGCTAACTAGCTAAAACTAGAAGTTCCCAAAGACTCTGAAAGACAAGAACAACACAGTCAGCTATTCAGCTTTGATTAGAGGACTGTTTTATTAGGGGCTGAGAAGTTTTCCCCGACTCCTCCGGCTGAGTCTTCACTTCCATCAGAAGTGCCACCACTTCCTTCATCGTTGGCCTTTCAGCCGGCGACGAATTCACACAAAACATAGCTATTCCTAGAGTCTGAAGCATTTCTTGAACCAATTGATCCGGCAATCCTTGGAGCTTCGTGTCCAGCACTGTCACAGCTGGCTCGAAGCTTCCCATCTTCTTCTTCACCCACTCCACTATGTGGAGCCCGTCACCTATGTGCGGTTCGACTGCACTGCGCCCGCTTAGTATCTCTAGCAGAACCACCCCATAGCTGTACACGTCGCTCTTCTCTGTTATGTTCACTGTGTACCCATACTCTGTGAGGACAATAAATGATACATTTGTAAGAACATAAGCAGAACATTTTGTCGATTAGTGAATTAGAAGTGAACAGCTTGCCTGGTGCTATGTATCCGTAAGATCCTGCAACTCTCGACATAGCCTGTTGATAATTGGGAGAGTTCATAAGCTTTGCTAGTCCGAAATCAGCCAAATACGCGTCGTATTTGGAATCTAGGAGTATGTTGTTGCACTTCACATCTCTGTGAAGAATCGCAGGCGAACAGTCGTGATGTAGATAGGCGAGACCTTGAGCCGATCCAACGGCTATCTTGTATCTCGTTTCCCAATCCAGATTTCTGTTGTTCTGCAAAAGCTGTTGAAGGTTTCCATTCGGGATGTAGTTGTAGAGAAGCAGCTTGACACTCTTGTTCGAACAATACCCCAGCAGCTTCACTATGTTCCTATGCCTAATGTGTCCGAGAATCTGAATTTCAGCTGCAAAAGAGTCTATTGGTTCTTCGTCTTTCTTTGTCTTCCAAAGCTTCTTAACTGCTATCAGCTCGCCGTTCGACATTTCTGCCCTGTAGACAACTCCTGAACATCCTTTCCCAATGACATTTTCATCTCTCAGGCAATTCAAGATGTTCTCGATCGAGAACGTGAGCTTCTGGAATGGTATGAAAGTCCAAGGATAAGAGAAATCCTCCTCTGCTGATGAACTCGGCGAGCTGGATTTCTCTACGACATACTTAGGACTACGTACAGCCAAAATCCAGGTGATAACAACTGCCATAACCACAGACACCAGAATCACAGTAACTAGAGCTATTGTTTTTGCAGATTTCATCAAGTTTCTTCTCATCAAGCTTGAATAACAAGAGGATCCATCGATGGATTGGCAAAGGTGAGGGTTCTCGAGGAACGAATTCAGGGTTAGTGTTCGGAAGAACGGCGACACAGGTATTGGACCGGAGAAGTTGTTACAGGAAACATTGAGGTATGTAAGGCTGGTAAGAACACTCAAAACAGAGATCCTCCCGGACAACGAATTCTCGGAAAGATCAAGCGATTGCAGCTGAGTCAATCCAGACATCGTCTCCGGGATTTCGCCACTGAACTGGTTCGACTTCAAATCCAAACTAATGGTTAAGCTTGTCAATGAACCTATTTCATGTGGGATTGGACCAGAGAGGCCATTGAAGCTCAAATCAAGCAAGGTAATCTTCTGCAAGTTTCTAAACGACGCCGGAATTCGACCTGTGAACCGATTATTATTCAAGATCAGCTTATTTAGGTACGTGAAATTACCAAAACTCGTAGGGATTTCTCCGGAGAATCCGTTCCTACTAAGATCAAGCTGTTCCAAATTCACCAGGGCCCCCAACCGATCAGGCACATTGCCAGTGATGTTATTATCATGAACATCCAACAGCTCAAGAACCGAAATGTCCCCAAGTTCGGCAGGCAAGCCACCGGAGAAATAATTCGTGTACAAATCAAGAAACACCAGATTCTGCAGCTGCCCAATCTCCTTCGGTATCTGCCCCGAAAGCTGATTCTCTCCGAGCCTCAGCCTAACTAGGGATTGACATCTTGCTACGCTCCTCGGCAATTCGCCCGTAAGATTATTTCCCAGCAGCAATAGCTTGCTTAGCTTTGTTAATCCGAATATCTCCTCCGGAATCGATCCTGTTAATTTATTCCTCGACAGGTCCAGCGCATAGAGCTCACTGCAGTTCCCAAATGCAGGCGGTATGCTTCCAGACACCGAGTTCCCCCACAGAAATAAATTTTGTAAGTACTTCAATTCACCAATGCTATCCGGGATTCGCCCTGTTAATTGATTCTTATCCATCTGTAACGAAATCAGGCTCGTGCAATTGCTCAGACGCCATGGAATGTCACCTGTGAGCGCATTATCCGACAAATGAAGCTGTTCCAGGACATCCAGCTTCCCCAAATCGCCAGGAATTTCACCAGACAGTTCATTAGCGGAAAAATCGAGGACGACAAGCGACGTGCAGTTGGAAAGCTCGGATGGAATCAATCCAGTAAGTGAATTCCCCCATAAAAGCATGCTGGTGACCTTCTGCAACTTTCCAAGCTCAGGAGGGATCGAACCTGTCAGCTTGTTCATGTGCAGATACAGGTTCCTCAGCTCCGAACACATTCCGAGCTCCGGCGGAATTGAACCGAAAACCTCGGTATCGTAAAGCGCTAATGACTGTAGATTGATCAAATTGCCAAACGTTGAAGGGATTACACCAGACAGGCCTGTGGCTGCAGCTCCAAATGTCGTGAGATTCGTCAGGAGACCAATTTGGGGAGGAATCTCCCCTGTCAGGTATGGATTCCCACCGATTCTAAGCTCCTGGAGGGCAATTAACGACCCTAATTGCAACGGAATCGATCCGTTGAGGAGATTGTCTTGCAGGCAGAGGACCTGGAGAGACGAAAGATTGGAAATGTGTGGTGGGATTGAACCAGACAATTTGTTGGAGTTCAAGAACAGGAACTGGAGATTTTCCAGGCTGCCGAGTTCCGATGGAATGGAGCCTGAAATGGAGTTGGAGGACATGTCGAGGAGTCGGAGGTGGGAGAAGGAGCCGAAGGAAGGTGGGATGGGGCCTGAAATGTTGGTGGAGGAGAGGTTGAGGAGCTGTAGGGAAGAGAGAGTGGAGAGGGAGGGTGGGAGGGAAGAGAGGTTGAGAAATGTGTCGGGAATGGAGAGTGAAATGACTCTTTGTTGAGGGGAGCAGGTGATGCCCTGCCAAGAACATGGAGTTGGTGACGAAGGGTCCCATGTAGAGAGGAGGGGAGATGAGTTTTTGTAGTGGGGGTCGGTTGATGAGAGGAGGGACATCAGGGCTTGTCCATCTGGAGACAGGCCTGTAATAAAACCACACATCAAGATCACCATTGTTGCAAGAAATGAGATTCTCTGCAACTGGAACTGGAACTCCGCCATTGTTGAGCTCTGAAACAAGCTGGAGAGGACAGACAATAAAAATGGCTTCTTGTGAAGGTAATGTGCTTGAAACTCACAGAAATAATGGTGTTCTGTGACACAGAAATGACATTTTTATCTTTTTAGGAGGAGGAGGAGGAGGAGGAGCTCCGCCGCGGCGGTGGCGGAGGGGGGGAGGGTCAAAGTGGAGGGGTGATGATTTTCTTGAGCTTCTCAAAGTGTCAAAGAGCAGCAAAAGCAGGTTAGTTCATTTTGAAAGTTTATGCAGGTTTTGATTTAATTTAACTGTGTTCTCTTCTTTCTATACTGTGAAGGCTATTGTTTATGCTAGTGTCTGCTGAAATCTCCAAAATGCCCTCGAATTTTTTGAGTGATTTGCAAATTAAGAAAAAGGGTTTTTTTAAAAAAAATAAAAAATTTAGTTTATGTAGTGACAAGAAAAGCCTTGGGAAGATGAGAGAATTGATGATGATGAGTGAGTGAGTGAGTGAGGGTTATAGGGCTTTGTGAAAGGCCACATACATACACCACACCTACTTGGATTAAAATTAGATTAGAAAATTACCAATTAATTATATATATATATATATTTCATCTTTATTTTTCCCACGGCCTTCACATGATAATTTAATGATGCTGTTACTTATCCATAAGTAAGATATACTATGTTCTTAGAACAGTCATTTTTCCTCTGCCTTTGTAGTATTAGAGGCATAGCTGTTAATGACCTGGGCTTTTATATATTGATATAATATTTTATATGAAAATTAGATTTATATGTAATATTAATAAAAATAATGAATTGAATAATAGTAAATAAGTTTGAAATAAAAACCAAATGAGCACACGTTAATACCATACAATAAATATATTTTATATCTTAAGAACATTAATTTATATTATTAGCATTTGCAAATATAATTAGAGCTTTTTATAACCATAGATAGATGAAGATTAATATAAGTAAAAATAATACTAATATTAATACTACATAAAGAGGGCAAAGCAGGTAAAAAATTACAGTAAAGATATAAATAAATATGGTAATAAGATCGAGGGGGGAGAAAGAGCAGTGAGTGAGTGAGTAGTGGGTGCGTTTTGGGAATGCAAATGGCTGAAGAGAGAGAGAGAGAGAGAGAGAGAGAGAGAGAGAGAGAGAGCAGTAAAATGTAAATACTACTTATAATATAAATATTCGAAAAGCGGCTGCCTGCTTCCTTGAATTTAATTAATTAATTAATCCTTTTCATTGTTTAAATTATGGCACAATTAACGATTTGGGAATTAGGGTTTTTCTTGTTTGCTAGGGTTTCTGATATATCTGTGCGAAGATAGGTCCCTAATGAATAACTACAAAAATAGGGCTGCGGATTAATTCATCCAGCCCTGTCATGCTATGCTCCACTCTTTATTTTATTTTATTTTATTTTTCAATATTATTATTACATGTATGTTGCATGTAATATGAAATTTTCGTCATGTTTGGTAAAATATTGCGTGTAATATTATTTTGGAGTCATTTTTACTTAATTAAAAATAAAAAATTGTGAGTTTATTAAGTGGTGTTCTTATTATTTTTTATTTGAATACTATATTTTATGAGAATTTTTTTAAAGTATAAATGAGCAGAATTGTATAATAGTAAAATATAAAATGGAAAATCAAAGTAAATTGCTGTTTAAACAAAATAAATCACGAAGCAAACACCGTATATTTGGAAACAAACCATAACAAATACACAATTACTTAAAAACACTCAAAATTGTATCTAAGTTGTGTTTATTTATTTTATCTTTTTTCAATATTTTAATTTTCTGTAAAAATATTGCATCATATATATATATATACACTAAGGGTGGTTTTGGCATCATTTTATTTTTAATAATAATTTGGATGAATAATATATTTTTACAAAAGATTGTAAAAATGGAATAATATTAAATTTGAAAAATAGTCAAAAGAACACATCTTTTGAAATTTTTGAAATATATCTAATGTGATATTTGACGAGATCATGTAAATAATTGATATTGATGGTATAAAAACTTTTAAAAATATGTATGTTAAAAAAGAAAAAACTTGCGTTTTTATTAGCATAGAGAAAGTAATTATTTTACATTAGAAATAACTAAAGAACAATATTAAAAATGAAAATAAAAACCTTTTGTTTGTGTATCAAAAGTCAAAAGTGAACAACAGCTGAAGTTGCAATTATGATAATGCGCTTTCAATTTGGTAACATTTTTATACTAACGACAATAAAGTACTTAAAGTCGCGTTTCTTAAGCCTGCAGTTTTGGAGATGCCATACAACACACTACTAAGTTTTTACGCAATTCATATCATATAATATAATATAATGCAATAAGACAAATCTTTTTTATTAATTCAAAATTATCACTATGTCTGATTTCGAATGATACGATGAATTTATTAAAATAAATAAATTATTTGAATCAAATCAGAGTTGCATGCATGATTGTGAATTAAATGTAATCTCTCCCACTTTAATTACAAAAAACTCTAACTACGTATTGATACTTTACCATAAAGTCATATATTACTAATACTATATATACTTAATCAATTCAGTGTATAAATAAATAATTAATTAGACTTGTTTCTTTAATAAAAAGAACAAAACTTGTTTATGGGCCATAATGATTGTATTGGGCTATTCGGCCCAATCTGTTGTCAAAACTTTTGATAAAAGAAGCCCATGCAGAAATAAAATTATACACACATATTGGAATCTTCCTCAAATAATATAGTAGAATAAATAAATAAAACATTCTGCATCTGTTTAACAAGGATTTTTTTAGATTTAAAAATTTGAAAAGAAAAATAATAATAAAAAATAATATGCATGTGGTGTTACATAGGAGGAAAAAAAAAAAAAAAAAATCTCTTATCGTAATATTAGAGAAGACTAAAAAGTAACAGTAATATTTTAATATAAAAATAAAATAGAAAAAAATGTGTAAAATAAGAGTATTATATAAAACTATTATAAAATTAATAATAAAGTAACAATGTAACTAGAAAAAATAATGAGAAATTTTGTTTATATATAAATTTAGGTGACATTTAAAAAATTATGGTATAATCATTCCAGAGAATATTTTTTAAATTTAATATTATCAAATTTTTAAAAAATCCTCTTCAATTGTGGAGGATCAGTCTAACCCAAAAAAATTAGACATGTGTTAATTTCCTAATTACATTTCATTAACTAATCAATGTAATTATTATGTTATTAAGTGGGACCCGCAGTGGCAATAAAAAGATAGCTTAGTTTATAGGGTATCTATCTATATCTATCTAGCCCTATGCCCATTTACTATTGCACGCGTCGGCCCGACAACGAAAGTTCTGTTTGGTTACCGACCTACAATATTCAAATTGTCATACAAATTGCCTGTATAATTAGTTCTCGAACAAACGCGAAATATTTTCCCGAGTCATCCCCAAATGACCGATTGAAATGTGTTCAATTTAATAAGCAGTAATTGGTTTTCTAGCTTTTTTGTTATTTTTATTTTCATTTTTCCTGAATATTATTACACATTATTTGAAGCTAAAACTACTCAATCGCAATCAATTATATATGTAACATTTTTTTAAAAAAAAAATTGTAAAATAATTATTAAATATAATATTTTACGTAACAAATATATAGTAATTGGTACTCCTTTCGAAAAATAAATTCATTTATTTTTTATAAGAATTTTATTGTGATAGAACTTTCTATTTCACCTACTATGTTCACATTTTTGTTTCTGTGCGTCACAGATTTCATGTTATTTTTTTTAAATGATTATACACCTTAATCTTATTTTAAATTTTTTAATTTAATTTTTTTAAATTTTATTTAAATTAATTAGTTATCTTAATATTAATTTATAATTATTTATATTATAGGATAATTATTTTCACTAATATACTTTTAATTATCTACTAATTATATTTATCCTAAATTTTCGTATCTACATTCACTCGGACATGCAATATGGGACAGATGAAGCATTTTTTTATAATTGAAAAAGTAAAAATGTGAGAAAATGTGTAAAAAGTATTACCTAATTTTTTATTTTTAATTTTTTTAAAAAAATATGTTTTGGTTAAAAAACATGAAGGAATGAAGTCTTTTTTTTTTTTTTTTTTTGGTTAAAACATGAGGGAAACAAATACACGAATCTTTGCTCATTTGCCCCACCATTAATTTCCATAAAAACTATTAAGTAAACGATATGTAATTATTGATTACCTCTCTTTTATAAATAGAAAAAAAAAAAAAGATTATAATTAAGTCTCTAGAAGCCTAAAAATGGTCATTTTTCATTTATAAAGCTAACTTTATTATTATTATTATTTAATTATTAAAATTAAATTATTATTATTATTATTATTATTATTTATAGAATATCATATATAAATAAATGAATAAAGTTAAACACACTTTGAAGGTTAATTATAACTGTACTCTCTATCAGAAGAATCTATATTATTATTGTTTTTTTTTTTAACTATAAATGAATTTTTAATATCATGTTTGATACTTCTTTATCATTTTAATCATGTAGGTAAAATTCATATAAAAATAATCATATATCTAATTTATTATTGTCGTTGAACATATGATATAATATTGAAATATTGTCATATGCACTAAAGTAACATTGTCAGAGTATGATAAGAAACACTACATAGAAGACTAAAATTAAACTGCTTTTGTTCATTAATAAATTTTTCATTATTTTTTATTTTTTATAGTGTCTGAGTTCTGTTCGTTAAGTAATTTCATTATTCGAACTAAGTGTTTGTATTCGGTTCGATTAAACTCGGTTGGATAAATATAATGTATTATTTTATTTGTTCAATCATATACTCTCTTCCTCCCTTAACAATTTATCAATTTTTCTATTTTGGTCTGTCCCATAACAAAATATTCATTTTTGTTTAGTAATTGTACTATCTATTTAACATTACAAAAATTCTTTCAATTTACAATATATTACACAAATATCGTCATCTTTATCTTATACAATACTAATATGATTAATTTAGTCTTTTTACCTTTATTTCTACTCTATCCCAATATAATACTAATATTTCTAAAACTCCATACAAAAAACAAATTGATATATAAATACGGAACAGAGGGAGTATATATATAATATTTTATTTACTTATTTATTTTTCTTTTAACGAACGTTCGCGGACAAATGTTCAAACTCATTTGCTAATAAAATAAGTATATTTATATTTGCAAAAGAATTTAAACAAAAAAACCAAACCAAATTCACAAAAGTTTATATATAATTAACCTTTTTAAAATAATAATAATAATAATACACTCTCGCGGTGTTGTGTCCATCAATAATTGCGATGAATCAAAAAAATAGAAACATAACATGTGTCCATATTCTATTTATGGTTTCTTTTCCATACCCGGAGAATTACACTAACTTCATTGAACATGGAACATGTTTTTTTTTTTTTTTTTGAATTTATTATTAATAAAATATTTGAGATGAGTATATATTTTCAAAAATACAGAATTTAAATAATATATATTTTTTTTAAAAATAGCAAAAGAAACACATTCATAATAAGACAAAATTAATCAATAATCACAAACCGGACTGTCACATACATAATAATTTATTTATTAGTTTTTTTTTTAACAAAAATTGACTTGTTCTTCATTTTTTTTTTTTTTTTGTCAAACACATTAAATTTGTTTACTTAATTTTTTTCCCTCAATTCTTTACTATTTAAGTTTCTTAATCTTTTCAAAAAATATCACAATTAACAATTATTTAATTTTATTTATTTTTTTTTATCACTTTCATAGTTTTTAATAATTTTGACATATATTTTTTGCATTTTTAATATAAATATATTTGTATTTAGGGATAAGAAGCGTACAAGTATTAAAATAATAAATACTTTTAATTAAATTATTATTATTTTAATAAATAAGGTATATATATTCCATATTTTATGTGAGTTAATGTATATTATTTATAATATTAATCAAGAAGTAGATCAATTTTTTTTTTATTTGTTTTGATTGAACACACATTTTTTTTTTTTATAATATATTATACATTTTATTTAAAATATAAAAACAAACAAAATTCTATGTACAAAAAAGCTTGCAAAATCCTTAAGTTATTATATATATATATAACTTAAAACACAAGTAAGCATATTTCAAACTTTGTAATAAAAATATTTTTTAAAAAAATAATAAATTAGAAATATAATTAATAATTAGTAATGGGGTCGAACCATCGTTTTTAATATATTTAAATCACGAGACAAGATTGTAATAGAACTTATTAGAGCCAGTAATTAAATATTAAACAATTTGGTTGGTTTTCCACCATTCCTATTTCTCACCAAATTAGGTTTTACATTAATGGAGAATTCAGTGCAAAACGATCATTTATATCGTTGGTTAATAATTTAATTTATCTAAAAAAAATCAATTCAAAAACTATAATTCCAATATTGCTCTCTTGATGTATTTTACTACACCCTCCGTCCCATGTAATATGATGTATTACGGTAGATACGAGAAAATTTATGTAAAATATAATTAGTAAGAAATTAAGAAGTGTACTAGTAAAAATAATTATTATTTAGTAAAAATAATTATAGATTAAGATTAAGATAAATAAATAGTTTAATTAAAATTAAGAAAATTATAAAATTTAAAATGCGATTAAAGTGCATAATTATATTTCCAAAAATAGAAAAAACAAATTATGTGGAACGGATGAAAATAGAAAATATGAACAAATTATGTGGAACGGAGGTTTATTACTTTTGATTGTATGATATTTGAAAATTGAAATGATAGATAAAATAATATTTAAAATATTAAAGAGGACAATATTAAGCAATAATAATGTACCAACCGTGTTAGTTTACGTATTAATATGGAAAAAAATCATTTTTAGTCTCCATATAAAAATTTTATTAATTTTGGTCTCAATATAATCAAAACTCATTATTTTTTATCTCAATATAATTTTATTATTATTATTTTTTTATCAATTTTAGTCTCAATATAACCAAAACTCATCATTTTTTATTCCAATATAATCAAATCTTATCTTTTTTGGTCCCACCGTCAACAAACTGACGACAAGTGCTGACATGTTGACGGTGGGACAAAAAACATAAGGTTTGATTATATTGAGACAAAATATGATGAGTTTTGGTTATATTAAAGCAAAAAAGTTTTAGTTATATTGAGACCAAAAAATTGATAAAATTTTTATATTGAGACCAAAATTGATGAATTTTGATTATATTGAAACCAAAAATAATTTTTTCCTATTATTATATATAAAATAAATTGAATTTGTTTTTAGGATACTTGGCTCTATATTATACTATATATACATTTTAAAAAGTTTTTTACTATACTTTACTATACTTATAAAATTACATTTTTTTAAAAAAACATTTCATCCAATAAATCAAATTAAAAAAAAAAATTTATAAAATATTGGTGATTTGTAACATAAACAATTTTTTTTTCTTTTTCTTTTTTTTTTTTACCTAATCTTTAACAATCTTTTTTATTAATAAAACATAATATTAAAACTATCATTTAAATAAAAACTAAAATAAAAAAAAATCATATATAAATTCAAACCAAATAAACTTTAAAATGCTATTGTATACTTTATATATATATATGGGGTTCGTTTGATTCGATTAAGATTTAAAATTAATTTGAAATTAGGTTTTGATTTTAATTTTTATTTAAATAGTATTTTAATATAATATTTTGTAAGATAAAATAATATATTTTATTAAAATAATACAAAATGAATAATATTATTCAATTTAAAATGCTAAAAAATAAACTCATAGTAATAAAAATGTCCATATTCAATCAAAACCCTACGTACAAATTTATTACACGTATCATTTTTATTAATGTGAATTATATAATAAAATTTATATAAAATATTTTATTTTTTTAAATCAAGATATAATTATTATATAAATGATTTACCCTAAACTTTGGGTGTGTTTGTCCGAGTTTGGATTTTGAGTTGGGATTTGAATAGTAAAAATTTTGAATTTGAATAATTGTATGATGTGATATAAATAGATGTTGATGCGATGTTTTAAATATAAAATTGTTTTTTTAGGATAATATAAAACAAATACACCGTTTGTATAATGTTGTAAGCTAGAAATTGGGTAAGAATTATTTAAATTTAAAATAAAATTCCTAACCAAAAAATTACAGGCAGCGGTTTGGACTTTGATCGGTTCTGAAAGCTTCTGAGATTTTCTCTCCGTACAAAAATTTCAATCAGTTTTCGTCTGAAATTCTGTGAAGCATTTCTGCATCGGAAGTCGATTCAAGGATGAAGGGGCGGGGCAAGAGCAGGCACAATCAGCAACCAGTGGTAATATGTATTTTCAACGTCTTGTTTCCATTTTGTGCACTCGGTTTGTTTGGTTTAGGATTTTTGTTGCAGTTTCGTTTCGAATTTTTGATGGAAGTATGTAGAAATTATGTCTAGAATAGAACTAGTTCTGTTTGTCCTTTATGAGTCGAATGGCATGGCAGAAGAATTGGAAACTGGAATAGTTTTGCAATCAACCAGTGGTGATATGTGTTTTCAACATATGTTTCCATTTTCTGCACGCGTTTGTTTGGTTTAGGATTTTTGTTGCAGTTTAGTTTCGATTTTTTAATGGAAATCTGTAGAAATCATCTTAGTTTAGAACTAGTTTTGTTTGTCGTGTGTGAGAGCGGGAGAACAATTGAAAACTGGAATTTCTGTGTTTGTGTTTGTTAGAACTCGTGGAGGCGCGTGATGATGGTGCGGAAGTGGCTCAAGCTAGCGGCTACCGATTCCGATTACTCCGCCGACAGCGATTCCTGTTCCGGCTCCGATTCCGAGCCAGAGAAAGGTCTTTTTGGTTGATTCATATCTCCGTTTTCGGTTTGCTTTCACTTTTTTTAACTTGTTTACTTTTTGTTCAGCAGATTTTTGCCATTGGCCGAATAAATCAGAGTTGAGGAACGATGATCCAGATCAAACGCAGGTTAATGCGAATGGTAACGATTTCATATTTGGAACCGAAAGTTTTACAAAAGTGAAGACTTTGGAGGTCGACTTACTTGGTCAACGTCTGCACAAATGTATATTTTGATCAAGCATTAGTTCTCGCTTTTACTTGAAATTTTTAATTAAATAATGAAAGGGATTATATGTTAGGTTCTTTGACTTCTAGATACTTCTAATTGTTCAATTATGTGCAATTTAAGCTGGTTGGAATGCTTTTGTCCTTGTTGATGTTGACTTGTTTGGGCACAAAAATGCTGTATAGTTAAATCTGACTTTAAATCCTGCATTGAGTTGTTTTAATTTCATTCATTCTTTGTGTTCATTCAAGGTTTACTTAACTTTAAATAGAACTCTGTAATTCCAAATATGAATAAGTAAAACGAGTTGCCAGTTGAGAGTAATTTCACTACCTAATATGACTTGGTGGTGCCTATGATGTTATTTTATTTTATTTATTTTTCTATATTTCTGAATTAAATGCATGTAATTAGTCTATCTGAAGAATCTAACTCTGGATTCAAATGTATATTTTTGTATTTGTTCATATCCTTTGCCAATTTTTTACATTTCTTTGATGCTTCCAGAGGCTCTTCCCAGATTAAGACGACGAAAATCAGAGACATTTAGAGCTCAATACATAAACAACAAGGAAATCAGGCAAGTTTTTCTTCTTCTTTGGGATTGATAATTGATCCATGAGAACTGAGGCCTCTGGCTCTACCAGGGTATGTGCAACCACGTGGAATGTTGGGGGAATTTCTCCTCCAGATGACATAGATCTCGATAGTTTGCTGGACATTACTGAACCTGCTGATGTATATGTAATCGGGTAAGCAGAGATGCTTAACATACCTCCAATTTTCATAACTATGTGGAGCAAGAAACTCATTCTGAGTTCTGTTGTATACTTGTATGTGTATGTATGTAATTCTGCAGCCTTCAGGAGATCATCCCTTTAAATGCTGGTCACATATTCGGCGCCGAAGACAGCCGGCCTGTTTCAAAGTGGGAAAACGTAATCCGCGAAGCTCTTAACCGTGTTCCTCCAGCAACTAAGTTCAAGAGCTTCAGCAATCCTCCTTCACCATCAAGATTCAAGCCATCAGAAGATGCACCCGTCATCGAAGATGAAATTGTGCTCGAATCCGATAGTGATGTCGCCGAGGAAATCTTTCCACTTAATGATGATGACTTGAATGATCTTCATGAGACCAACAACAACAACAACGACTTCTTCAAGCCAGTGGATCACCAATCCATCCAATCTCCTCTGAAGAAGCTGAACAGATCAAACTGCTTAAGAATCGATGATCCTTCTGAAACCATGGAAGCCTCCAATGGCCAATACACGAAGAAGTTAACCAAAACACTTAGCGGCACAGAAAGGATGGGACTATGCTGGCCCGAACGACCCCTTCATCTTCTTCCTCAGCAGGTTTTGGAGAAACCTAATCCCTCTTTCAATGCTTCCAAGTCTTTCGGCTCGTGCAGCTCATATAAATCGAAAACCGATGCACCCCTGCTCTCTGATCTCGACCTCGAATCAGTTATATACCGGAGGAGAAGACCGTCATATGTTAAGATAGTCAGCAAGCAGATGGTTGGAATTCTTATAATGATATGGGTTCGAAGGAGCCTCCGAAAGCATATACAAAACTTGAATGTGTCCACAGTCGGCGTCGGCATCATGGGCTATATCGGCAACAAGGTTAGTTCTGCAAACTTGGACTCCAAGAACTTCACATTTCCACTAAATATCATCGATCTTTATCGAATATCATAATTTTGTGTCTTTCAGGGGTCAGTGGCAGTTAGCATGTCGATACACCAGACGCTCTGCTGCTTTATTTGCACTCATCTGACGGCAGGCGAAAGGGACAGCGACGCAGTCAAGAGAAACGCCGATGTGCATGAGATCCATAAACGGACTCGTTTCAATCAACTCTCTTCTATAGGTCTTCCTAGGCGTATATATGATCACGAGAGAATCATCTGGCTCGGGGACCTGAATTATCGAATCAATTTGTCTTATGAGCAGACAATAGAGCTGATCTATAAACGGGAATGGTCCAAGTTAGTCGAGAAGGATCAGGTGAATTCGATTCTTTTGAATTTTAACATCTACTCTTTCAAAAGTTAACGGATCGAAAAGAAAGATAAAAAAGCATAGAACCAATTAACTAACTAACTGACTTGTTGATATATTTGCAGCTTATGAGAGAGTTGAAGAAAGATCATGTCTTTGATGGATGGTCGGAAGGTACATTGTCCTTCGCCCCGACTTACAAATATCATCTGAATTCCGAGGCTTACTTCGGAGTGGATCCGAAATTGGGGAGGAGAACGCCGGCATGGTAATATGATTATATATTTGACTGTAGAGTTGAAGAAATAGGGATGACAATGGGTTAGCTTGGATTTATTTGGGGTTGAATCCAAATTCGGGTCAAATATTGTGTGTCCTTATTGGGTCTCGGGTCCAAGTTTGGATTCTACCGGACCTAATTAATATATTAATTATATATATGAAAAAATTAATTTTTAATAATATAAATTATATTTAAAATGTTTTAGTTTAACTTACTTATTATTTTATTATAATACTTTTGAATAATATATATAAATTTTAATATATGTAAACCTGTCTAATTTTAAGAATTGTAAAACAAAGTTTGAGTTTGTCGGGTATTGTTCGGGTCTCGGGTTCATATATATATATATATATATACGTATGTATGTATGTATGTATTTGTTGTGGGTAAGTAATTATAAGTATATTAATTATAAGTACAGGTGTGATAGAATACTGTCATTCGGTGGAGGGATGAGGCTGGTGAGGTACAAGAGATCGGAAGTGAAGCTGTCAGATCACCGGCCGGTGACAGCGAGTTACATGGTGGAAGTGGAAGTGTTTTCTCCGAAGAAGCTGCAACGGGCGCTGACATTCACGGATGCAGAAGTCGAAGCACAGGACATCGGCACTAATGGAATCGGGCATCAGCAGCAGCAGGTAGAGCTACTACAGGTGTTCTTAAAATGACCTAACTAATATAATATATAGATTGATGGATCTACATCTGCATCTACAGGTGTTGTATATTGGGAGCGTTGAGGAAGAAGTGGTAAATGGATGATCTGATCTGATCTGATGGGAGCTAACAGGGCTGTCGTATTCTTAATCGATGGTAAATGGTAATGTTAACATCCCTCCCATCACCACCCTTGTTCTCATTCTTCTCCTTTCTTTGTGTTGTGTTGTCTTGTATATATGGTTTGGTTGGTTGGTTGGTTGGTTGGTTTATTGAGTGAGTCACTCGGAGAAGAGAATAGATATGCTTGGAGCCATAACCGTAAGTTTGTTTTGTGAGTTAGTGAATGTTTTTTTGAGTGAGTTCCTTTGATCAAAATAATATTTAATGGAATATTATGCCAATCATCACTTGTTTTTTCGAAAACCTAAAATTTAAAAAATATGAGATTTTGCATATTTTTTGATGAAATTACTTCGTATCTATTATATATAATGGAGCAATAATTAATATCATTAATGAAATTGTAATGAATTAATAAGTATATATTAAATTTAACATCTTATTGTAGTTAATAATTGGTATTATTATTTTTATTCTAAGGAAGCTAGTTTGATTTTAAGATAAGGATACCCTAATTGGTGTTGCAAGGACTCGCATCACATAGGCTTGTGCGGCCATGTAGTAGCTTAATATTTATTTTTTATTTTTCTATATTTACTGTAGTAAAAATGATTCATATATATATATATTAAAATACTTCTAAATTTTATAAAAATATATATATTTTTAAAATATCAGAATTATTTGATATATTTTGCTAATTAATAAAGAATTAATATTTTTTAATATATTATACAACAAAAGAATATATTAAGTCTGATATTTAAAAATATTATTATTAATAGTAATTTTTTAAAAAATATCAAATTAAATCTTGATCCTCTTTAAAAACGCATCACATTAATGGTAAAACTTTTATTTGAAATACAAAACAAATATACTATGTGTCTCAATTTAAAATAATTCACCATATACACTGATTATTTTTTTTATGACATCATAATAGTAAATGTTACTCTTCGAATGTGCCTTAAAAATTTCAGCATCACAAGTTTACCATATACTATTAGATTATTTTAGAGGCCACAAGTTTACCATATACTATTAGATTATTTTAGAGGCCACAAGTTTACCATATACTATTAGATTATTTTAGAGGACTGGTGGCCGAATCTAGTTATAATTGTAAGTTTATAAGTTCAAATTCTATTGGTATTTTCATACTCTCCGAATTGCTCACTCCATAAATATATATATACACACAAGTATATGGTGCAAATATAATCTACTACATTCGTCATTCAATTATTAATATATATACATATTGAAAATTTTATTTTTTTAAAATATAATCGGAAATTTGAATAATATTCCTCCCGTCTTAAACACCGTGCAACATTTGTGTTTGAGACGAGAATTTAGGTGAAAAGTATTAAGTATGATAACTTGGGATATTAAATGATGTTTTTGAAGAGAGAAATGATTATTTTTTTTTTATTTGATTGATGTGATGAAATAGAGCGAAATATGTATTAATATATGTATATAAATATTATTAATTATTTCTAAATTTAAAAATATTGCAGTGAGTTTGAGACAAATTAAAAAAAAAAAAATTTGAGACTGAGGGAGTAATAAAAATAAATATATAAATGCTATTATAAATAGTTATACATATAAAATATGAAAAATTTTAGGGTTGGCCATAAATGGGAATATGGAGTGGGATTTGTTAATTTAGGGAATTTAAAAAATTGGTAGTTTAATCTCATTTTATTTATTTATTTTTTTTTCACATCTTATTTACAAAATAATTATACCCAAATCTGGAGAATTGGGAGTTGAACTATGACGTCACAGTTACGATCCTATCCCCACATCACCGGGTCAATAAAATGTGTAAGAGGTTTTTTATATTTTTTGTCTAATAACTTTATTTATAAAGTAATTGTATTTGTAATTGTATGTTTGTAATTTAAGTAAAGATTAAGGGTATTTTAATATTAGGATATGATAATTTTTAAAAATATGAAATAATTAATTTTGAATAAGACAAATAAAAATGGTAGAAAAAATTACTTTGAGTTGGAATGAGAGAATAATATTTCATTAATTAATAAAAATATAAGAAATTTAAACATTTTTATCATTTGACTTTAAATAATTATAAGTATAATAATATATTTGTAATTTAAGTAGGAATTAATCAATAATTATTTTTATAAAATAAATACTTTTAAATAAAATATTAAAAAAATAGTAAAAAATATATTTTAAATTAGAAGATAAATATTATAATTTTTATTAAATTAAATTGGAATATTATTTAAATTAAAATTTAAATAAAAACTAAAACTATACAAATCAATTATTATTGTTATCATTACTCCTAGTTTTCATGTTTTTTTTCCTTTATATATATATATAAAAGTTCTAAAAATTTTATGTTGTTTCATATTTTATATATAAATATATATTTAATGCGATATTTTAAATAATTATTTTTTTATAATATTATATTTAATTTGATAAAAAAATAAAATTCAATAAAAAAATGTGATTTGTATCCAAACTTAAAAAGAGAACTTTTTTTTAAATAAAAAGTTTGAATAAAATTTTGGTTTGTTATTTGTAAAGTTTTAGCTTTGAATAGTAAAATTTGAATTGAAATACTTATTTGATATGAAATAAATATACATTGTTTGGTCCGTCGTTGCTGTCGTCGCTCCCGATTGAGTTCATGTTCTCACGCATAAAAGTTGTTTGTTCGACGTCGCCTTTGCCACTCTGAACTAAGTTATTTCTCTCAAAAGCTGGCAGAAACTCTAACGCAAATACAAATAACAGTTGTTTGGTCCGTCGTTGCCGCCGCCGCTTTTGACTGAGCTTCTGTTTTGGAACTCATCCGACGTTGCCTCTCTCACTCTCAACCAAGCTTATGTTCTCGAACACAGACTAAAATTCTAATACAAACGCAAATAACAATTGTTTTGTCCATCGTTGCTGTCGTCGCTCCCGACTGAGCTTTTGTTCTCGTATATAATAGTTGCTCATCCGACATTGTCTCCGTCTATCTAAAGGAAACTTCTGTTCTCAAACGCAGGTTCAAACTTTAAGACAAACACAAATTCCAATGCAAAATGCAGACATATCTCGAAATCGGAGACCTCCGGGTGCATTCTAAGTTGAATGTATTTGAATAAACGAAGGTTACCAAGCTATGTCTATTTAAAAGAAAAATAAGATCTTATACCATATTAGAAAATGAAATTGAAATTATTATTATTTTTATTTAAAAATTCGTACATATTTATAATGACAAACAAACCATTAAAATAAGAATTCTACAATTTTTTTTTTAAAATAAGATAACTATAATAAATATAATCCACATAATAAATATTATACTCCAACACAATACAATATATAACACATAATAAATATTAATAAAATATACTACGTATAGTATAACATTAAAAAAGAAAAAAAAAATACATGATTGTGTTGTGTGCTATTACGTAGTGTTTGTTAATTCAATTTTTGAATATCGATTTCATGATATGAATAAATAGTTTTTTGCTTTAATATGTATATATTATGCATTTGAAAATTTTGTTAGTAGATATCGTAATTTTAAATTAATATTTAAAAATTTTAGACTTAAACGGATTATACAAGTTAGATCTAAGTTGACCCCATTAATAAAATGCCAATTAAAATTGCAAAATTAACCAATTTAATTAAATGGGTCAGGTTCAGATCAAAATTTTATAACCAGTTTAAAGCTGATCCGAACTTGAACCGACCCGATATGATTCGTTTTTCGGCCCTAATTGCAGCCTATGTTTGAGATGTTTTAATTTTTGTTTCCATAAAAAAAATATTTCTATATAGAAATTTTAATTTAGTACGCATTTTTTATCTTTTATACCAAAAAATAAAAAGTACATTTTTTTTGCTAGTTAATAAAAAATACAATATTTTTAATCGAAATAATTAAAATGATATAATTAAAAAATTTTAAAAAGCAAAAAATCGGATAAAATAGGGGTGTGTTTGTTTTGGGATTTAGATTTTGAGTTGGGATTTGAATAATAAAAATTTTGAATTTGAATAGTTGTATGATGTGATATAAATAAGCGTTGATGTGATATTTTAAATGTAAAATTGATTTTTAGTATAATATAAAAAATAAAAAATAAATATTTAATTTAATATTTTTAGAAAAAAAAAAAAATTGAATAATAGAAATATAATTCAATTTCCCAAACAAACTCACCCTAAAAGAAAAAACGCTGCTCTCTCTCTCTCACACACACTCTCGCGCCAGCGCCCAAAAAGAAAAATGATAATTATCCCACGCTCGAGGATACTTCACTCTCTCACACACACTACTTCCAGATACTTCCAGAGAGAGACAGAGAGAGAGAGGTGGAGAAAAGCAAAGTACGTTGCAGAGGGGAAAAAACAAAACAGTGTAGCAGAGAGCCATTAAAAGCGGTTACGGAAGGAGGAATGAAGAAGAGGCGGCAGCAGAAGAAGAAGATCATACAGTCCTTACACAGCTCGGAGACTTCGGATTGCCTGAAGTGAACACTACAGCAACAATCACAATTGCCGCCTGGATCGGTTTGAGCAATGTCGAGCGGTTTCGGTTGCAATTGTAGGCTTTCGAGGGTTTGGTTTATAATTTTTTGGATCTGAAGCATTATCGTGTTTGTTGCCTGATTTGTTGTTTATGCGTAGGGATGAGTGAATGAGACGGCGGACGGAAGGAGAAGTAATGGCGGCGGCGGCGTCAATGGCGGTGTGGCTGATTGTGGCGGTAGTGCATTTGGTGGTTTTAACCGATGCTAATATGGAAGGTTCTCTTTGCTACTTGTTGATTTGATTACCGATTCGTTTTTTCGATGATTGTTTGTTTTCATATTCTAGGTTTAGTTTGAGATTTTTCTATAGATCATTAATTTGGTTAAGTTTGGGAGAATTTATGCTTTTACTGGAATCTATGTTCAAGTGCTAACATTAAATGCTGTTGTTATCGTTTTAGGATTGCTGTATAGCCTTTTTTGGAATGCTTTTGTGGTTGTGAATTTTGGTTCCTTTTTACTGTGTTGCTGCTATTCACATTATTGAGTAATATGTCTTGACAGATGTGTATTGCCTAATTTGGGGGTGGGGGAGGGTATAAGTTTTGGAATTTAGCTTATTGTTTGTTTGTACTGGAATGGATTGAATTTGGTTTGTATTGAATGGTATTAGGGAATGTTATTCGATACCGGTGATGCTGATGATGACATTCGAAATTCGAATTGAGTTTTTGGGATGGAATTGCACATTTTATGGGAGGATTGTATTTTTGGGATCTGA